ACCCCCAAAATATTCGACATAATATGTCTATGGTTAATTTTGATTTTTCTAAAAATTTTGAACGACAATTTTTCATAAAAATTATTTCTGGTTAGTTTTTGTTTATTTTTTCATTCATATTGACATGTTAAAAGCTCTTTTGTACTTGCTCTTTTGTAAAAATAGTTCCTTGTAGAACTCGGGAGATTTATAAAAAAAATTGAGATCTGCATTTTGTTTGAAATATTTTTTAATTACTGTAATTAATTGTTTGTTTGTCCGGTTGTCAGATTAATGCAAAAATAATTCACACAAATTTTCCATTATCTGGCAACATGGCTTTTTGACCTTCCAAACATGTATATTTGCGTATGTAGTTATAATACGTTCCTCACATGGTTTTTATTTAACTACTTAAATGAAACGCAAAAAATGTAAAATTTTCTGGACTTACCTGTATATTTTACAAATCGTGTTAAGTTGTTTGATATAGTATTAATAAATATAGGTACTTCGAGTTGGCTATTTATTTATAAATCAAAGTCACTAACTTTCTTTTATGCTATATATGTATATATATATATACGCTCCAAAAAACCTACATATATAGTAATATACGGATTAAGTAGGCGATAATTACGATAAATGCTGTATTTCGAGGAATCTGTACCTCCTCCTGTACCTACTCCTTTGAAGTAAGTATGTACTTTCAAACACTTACTTACTCTTTATTTTATGTTACACCTTCAGTACATTTTAAGGCTTTGTTATGAAAATATTTGACAGACCCTAAGTACACAAGGTATAACTATCATTATAAAGTTCTTCTTAAAACCCTTTATTTCTGTATTACGCAACGTGAAATCCTTATCGTTTCAGTTTGTAAACACTGATAGGAAAAAATGAAAACATGACGTTTGATAAGACCTAAATTTAATATTTAACAGACCAGCCTCTAAAAATACATAACATGTTAATCGCCTTTATTAATTGCGAGTAATTTGGCACTAAAACCACAATACACGGAGTTTATCAAACTTTCGGCTACAATTGAACTAAATTTATTCGAATGCGTATTAAATATTGGCGAGAGTTTTGCGAAAATCTGCGTCAAATTTTCTATTTTCGACGGTCCTTGTTCGTAGAAAGTCATTCCTGTTGACGCGTTTAAATTTTATGCTTTCAATGCTTTTTCTTGCAATAAACTGATATTATTATTATTATAATATATTTATTTGTTATAAGCATTTTTGTATTTTCCTTTTACCAACATAAAAATTAATTAGAGTGATATTTTCAATTAGATAAAAAAGTCACATAAGAATAAAAAATTTCTCCTATGAAATTTTTAATACATTTAAAAATTTGTTTGACAAAAAAATACAAAAATAAAAATACATATATGAGTTTGGCATAAAAATTAAATCAAGCGAATTAAAAATGGGTTTAACAAAAAAATACAAAAATAAGAAGCAAATATTTTAAATTCATTTAATTAAAAATATCAATTTGGCATAAAAATTAAATCTAATTTTTAAATATCTGCTATGATATTTTTAATTCGCAGAATAAAAATTCTTTTGTATTAGAATTTTTACCATTACCATTATAACCATCTTATCAAGGAAGTACATATTCCTTTTTTTATTTACTTTTACAAACAGGATCATGGCCCCTAAACCCGTCAAAAAAGGTCACCAACTTGGTATACCCACAAAATGCATTAAATAAAAGCTTTATTGATTTTTTGCATATACATAATTGGCATTCATCCAAGTTTAACAGACTGGATATATTTTATAAGATATTTTTGTAAAAACTATTAATCTTATAACTTTTTACTTTAAAATGGGTGTAAAAAGAAAACAAATCGTCGTACTATTTTTAATCGTGATCAAGATTCTAAACAAATTTTTTAACGTTTTTTTATGTTTCTGGTCAAATTCCAAATTTCTAAAAATAAGCGAGTTAGTTTATTAATCCAGTTATTAATAATTCGAATAATTAACCATTTTATTGACAACAAACAATAGCGATTTATTTTTATCTGTTATAATGTTTAAATATTTAATAGTATCAATAGTATAAATGACATACTTATTTAAAAATACGTTTTAATCTTTCCCTAATGCGATCTAATTTTTAGAAATGTATACAAATATATGTTATATAAATATATATACCGGCTTAAGAACACGTGGCAAAAATTTAACGTAAATGATATGGCGCATTACTTTTGTTTACGATTGTACCTCTACCAGCAGTGATAAAAATAAAACAAATTAAAATGTTTTTTAATCACCGTTTTGTTGGTTTAGCATTAATTCCGTCCTTGGTGTTAATCAAAACAATCTGTATTAGAAATAAGAAAATGTATCGGATTGACATTTAAATCTTTAAAGGGCTTGGAATAAATAAGCAACGTTGTGCATAGCAGGCGTCCAATTATTTCGCCACAATTAAGCAAGTTAACATATTTTATTAACAAGTTTATTTATTGCTGAATTTTGTATTTTTTATGTTTTGCGAAGATGCTCTTTTGTCTTGCAAACTGTCAACGGTTGAAAATAGAAAGTGAGGTTATGATATCGCTTTTCAGACTGGAACATTTATTTTCAATTGGTGCATAAAATTGCCTGAAACAGTTTACATGGTCGTTAATTATAACATCTCTGTTAGATTTAATTGTATTTGAATAACATTTCTATTGAGGATTTAACTACAACAATTCCCTATTGTTTCATTTGTTTTGTTTCTCATATAAATGCATACTGTTGCTATGCGATGCTTACATAAAAAATCTTATGGATTATCTATGCAGTTTTATTGAATGCTGGAATACAACGGTTCCGCTACTCACTTAAATACACTGCTCAATTTTAAATTATTCGTGCATTGCTTTATTACGTTAACTAAATGAATTAGACTGACGAACCTATGTTGTGAAGGCTAATGACCTGTAAAGCTATCGTTATCCCACCAAATTCACTTTGCGAAAGAAATTTGTTGTTCATTTGCCAACATCTATTACCTACATAACAACGATATTAAACTAAAAAAAATCATTATTTTTATGTTTAAAGTCGATAACGTTTTAGTTATAGCTATAGCATCGTAATTATGCAGAGATTAATTTAAGTTATAGTTGTTTAAAACCAACAATATAGCAGTTAATCAATTTGAATTTTACCTTTTAACTCTTCAATGTAAAAGATTGTTACATTTGGCTACGTTGCGTCCGTAAGCGCGAGAATGACATCATGCCTTGTTGCTATTTACGCTCGATTGTTTTTTGTTTTTTATTTAAGCCAATGAAATAACCAAACAAATTAACGAGTTTATGTTTATGCGAGGCAGATGTTTTCACTGCGGTTAGTATGTTTGGGTGCGAGAAGTACTGAGGAAAAGATAAATGTTTATCGTAAAATTTAATATTTGTTAATTTATAATTTGCTTAATTGAGAAAATTTTACATTTAATAGATTTAATTTATTGTTTTGGTTATGAAACAAGGAAAAGTTTCAATCATAAATAAATGTGTTCTGAAAGTTGGCAACACTGTGTGTGTGCTAAACAGAAATATTATTAATTTTCCCTAGATTCTGAACAGCACTGTATTAAAATTCTCAAATTCAAGCTGTCCTAATTAAGAATGTAAATTAAAGCTAGATATGACTGTCGTAAATTTAAACAAGATATTACTGCCTTCAGAATATCAACTTAAGCTAGATATAACAGTTAATGTCTTAAGAATGAAAATTTAAGGTAGATTTAACTGTTTTAAGATTGTCCGTTTAAGGTAGATTTGACTGGATTAAAAATATCAACTTAAGCAAGATATAACTCTTAACAATTTCAACTTGAGCTAGATGTAACTGCAGACATGTCTTCATAATTCAGATTTAAGTAAGATATGGATGGCTTAACACGTCAACTTAATGTAAATTTTAGCTAGATGTGACTGAGATTGCCAAGTTAAGCTTTATTTTAAGAATGCCAACGGAAGCTAGAAATACGAAATAATTTTAAATATTGAAAAAATAAAATTATAAAATCCTTTTTATACAAAAAAATCCTTTTGCTGTGTCACTGCTTTTGCTAAAAATGCGATTTTAAGGGAAACTGGACTTTTAGGTCCTAAAAATTTATGAAATACGATATAATTATTAATTTTCCCAAGATTCTGAACAGCACTGTCTTAAAATTCTCAAATTTAAGCTAGATATAACTCTTAAGAATGTCAAGTTAAGCTATATTTGACAGTTTTAAGAATATTAACTTGAGCTATATATAACTCTCTTGAGTGCTAAGCAAAAATATTATTAATTTTTCCAAGATTCTGAACAGCACAATTATCAAATTTAAGCTAGATATAACTGTCCTAATTAAGAATGTCAATTTAAGCTAGATATGAATGTCTTAAGAGTGCAGATTTAATTTATATATAACTGTTTTAAGAACGTTAATTTAAACAAGATATGACTGGCTTCATGTGACTGTAGCTATCTTTGACAGTTTCACAGAATGTGACTTGAGCTATATATAACTGTCTTAAGAATGCAGAATTAAGTAAGATATAACTGTTTTAAGAATGTGAATTTAATCTAGATATAATTGGTATAAGAATGTTAACTTAAAATTCTAAGTTAAGCTCTTTGTCAGTCTTAAGGTCAACTTGAGCTAGATGTAAGTAATGCGGATTTAAGTAAGATATAACTGTTTTAGGAATGTTTTATGAGTGTCAATTTAAGCTAGATGTGTCATGAGAATGTCAAGTTAAGATTTATTTTAAGAATGACAACTGGAGCTGGAAATACAAAATAATTTTAAAAATTGAAAAAATCCCCTTGACTTAATAAAAGGTTTTTAATTTTGCTGCGTCACTCCTTTTGCTAAAAATGTGATTTTAAGGGAAATTGGACATTGTGTCCAAAAAATTTATGAAATACGATATATTTTTCATGTTTTTGTTTGAAATTTAGGTTTTATAAAAAAAATGCTAAAATTTTGCTTTATTTCAGAGTGCAACGGCAGCCTAAACAATGGGGACAGCAATGGTGGAGGGGGCAGTGCCTCCGACAGTGGTGATCAAATGGACCCCGACACCCGCGCCAAGGAAGTGGCTCGTCGCAAAGAAGAGGCCAAAAGGAAACGGCGTAAAAAGAAACGTACCGGCTCATCTCTTGTGTCATCTTGTTTCCAAGGTATGTACCCAACCCATTCCAATATTTATTTAATTCTTCAATCTAGAGACCATTAATTAGTTCCATCGCAGTCCCTTCATTTGAAACGATATTTGTATTTTTTCTTTGTTCTAAAGGTTCTAGATGAAAAAAATGGAATAACTTTGTTTGTTTTGTTTGTTATCGCGACTGCTTAATAGCTATTGTTCCCTAACGATAATTTTTAATTATGAAAGTATCAATTTATTTATAGTTTCCATTTTTAACATAAATTAATTTTGCCTTTGTCAACCAACTGTGCCTATCCAACTATACTAACTAAAAAGTACAATGAATCATGCGATTAAATATACTTTTACTCTGATTGAAAATTATTTAAGTAATTTTATTAATAGAATCACTTAATAATGGCTTACGTGATCACATTGAAAAAATGATATTAAAACACTACTTGTATATTTTTTTCTTACCATATTCAAAATTCACCCAGCGACTGTAGTAATACAAGCCAACCTATAGGTATACTTAAAATTTATATCCTGATATAAATGTAAAACTATTATTCATTATGCATATTACAAGGTTGGTTTCCCGATTTATAAAGTATAATTTTTATTATTTATGTACATCTTATAAATGTGTGAATTACAATTCAAATATTCGTCATATTTTGCCCATGCAATTGAATGTTTTGAATTGAAAGTTTTTAACATCCTCAAGAGATTTTTAAACTTAATCCATTAAATTTTCCATTCACTTAAGTGCGTCAAAAAGTATATATTAATAGAACTTATTTAGTGGGTTAATTTTTTTTCGTTATCAAAAGACAAATAGTGACGCTAGCAATTTAATTACTTATACAGCGTGGTGTGACTTTTGTTGTCCTTCCTAATATTGACCCTGTAAAGAATATTGTATTTAAATATTTACTATGAACCAGTAATATTATCTTCTATAATAAAAATAGATATGCATATTATGTAGATAAACTGTTTAAAATAACACGAAATTATTTTTTGGTCAAATCCAATATTTATAAACAAACCTGTTGAGAAATGACGATGTTGATAGAAACTTGTTTTTAAAACCATTTTTTGATATGAAGGTTAATACAGCCACTATACGTTGAAGTTTGTATAATTCAGGAAACACTTAAAACATGAGGTTTTTATATTTTTATAAAGTTGTATTTGAACTTATCAATTTAAAAAGGCCTTCCATTAATTTAGAATTTTTTCCATTTAAAAAAAAATTGGGCTTTACCGTAATTTCGAGTGGTTTCAGGTTACATTTACGTAAATTTACCGCAGTGTGATTTAACAGGAGCCCTAATTACAATCATCTCAGTTATCTGACACGACTACTTGTATACGCATAGCCCCGTTCGTGCACTTATAAGTTAGAAAGCTATGACTCAAAAAAGTATTCGCCTCGAGCATGTCAAACCCGTTCCGATGTTCAATCGTTCAATAAATAACTGCATTTTTTCCTAACCGTGCACGATACCATTTCTGTTCGTTAATTAACGCCCACGCGTTGCCATTTTGCATTACGTTTTTTTTTCCACATCTCGCCAATGCATTGCGATGCAGGAAACGATTTCTGCAAGGACCCCGGTACGCGACCGATACGACCGAGGACCTTGTTGCCGCTTTTATCTCGATGCCAACACACACAATCCGATCGCGACGACGTTTTTTTTTATTTTACTCGTATCATTGGTCGTTTATGATTTATTGCATTGCCGGGGCATGCCGGTTTAAATTTAACCACTGACCAGGTCCTATTTTTGATATGCTACGTTGCAACATCTACCGCAAATATGCCAGTTAGGAATAGCCCTAAGCTAGGTATAACTATCTTGAGAACTAAATCAAAAGTGTCTTAAGAATTGCACCAGGTACACTGTTCAAAATTTCATGACCATTTTAAGACCAAATTAACACCATACATGGTTTATATCGATACAAACCAATATGGTTCGTTGGTCCGTTGTAAATTCAAATACTAAAATAGTGTTAATTTAACTTTCACACAGTATTAAAATAAATTTTACCTGGTGTAAATTGAAATCCTTTTCAGTGTTAAATATTATGTGTTTGTGGTCAAATTAAATCATACTACACAGAAAAAAAGGAAAAAAAGGAAACAGGAAGTTTCTTGACGCATATTAGTAGTGGTAATATTCTAGAAAATGAAACCTTCAACTCGCTAGGGATAATGTTTTTAGTGCGTTCCACTAACTTAAAAAACTTCATGTATTGACAGCTGTTTCCACCTATTTAAGGTCTCTTTAGTATCGAACAACTTGTAGTGTCACACCAAAGCAAAGGACTACCTTAGCTTATATATTCTTCATGTCAGTCAACAGAGGCGAGATTAAAGAACATCACGTGATCCACACCGCCTTTGCCGCGATCGGTACACACTATGCAACCGGGAATGCACGGCAAATTGTTTTAATCGTTTTTACAGAGTGCTTTAGGTTGAAGTAACTCTTATTTTACAAACAACATATTTAGTAAAGTGAACCATACAGCGGGTTGGTTTTACTAAAGTTTTCTGGGTTAATTTAACCAATTTAAAAAAAAAATAACTATCTGGTTTAGTACCGTCAGACTAATCTTTGTTTATATTAACCTTCCCACAGTTGATAAAAATAAAAAAAATACAAAAATAAATACTTATGGGTCAACTAAATTAATATAGTTAAATGAACTTATCCTTTTTTTCTGTGTAGGTGCACTTCTCAAATATTTTTAGATAAACACCGTTTTGGTGTTTGCTGTATATAACATTTTTAACCATAATTCATGGTGTTATATTAACACCACTTGGTGTTGGATTTTGACACCATTTTAAGATTATTTTTTACACCACAGATATTTTAAACAGTGTTAATCTGGCATTAACCATTCATAAATATTATCTACAGTGGCACCATTGCCTACTATCTTGTTCAGGTTTATTAAGTTTGACAGTGAACAGACGCTTAAAATGTAATCCATCTAATGGCTTATTAATACACACGGTCTTTAACTTGAGCATTCCTTACATGGAGCCTACACAGTCGGAAGTCGGAACTTCATGTAAACAAGAATTTTTCTAAAATAAGAGGGCGCTGGTGTTCCGTTCATGCTGAAACAATTGACTAATTTGTACCGAAACCCTACCAAAAGAGCAGTACGCATCGAAATTCAGCGCCGCTGGTGGTGAAAAAAAGACTTAATTTGTGCAATTTAGAGAGCAGGTTTTGTCAATTTCCCCTATTAAGTTCGGGCTCCTTGTTTAGGCTTCATGATTCCTTATCTTGCAAAAATATGAATGCCATTTGATTTTTTACTTACTTAAAACATAACTTTAAAGATCAACTCGAGGTTTAAGTATAAAAATGTCGATGGGATGTTAAGGTTTATATACACAAGTATTATCGTAACAGAGGTGGGATGTAAGGAGAAACCGTTGTTGTAACTGTTGTTCCTTTGTTTCCAGATCTGTACAAATTGACAGGAGAGATATTAGGTGAGGGTGCTTACGCGAGCGTGCAAACATGCGTGAACATGTACACCGATTTGGAATACGCTGTGAAAATCATAGACAAGGTGCCGGGACACGCCAGAGGTCGCGTGTTCCGCGAGGTGGAGACGTTTCATCATTGCCAAGGCCATCCGAACATCATTCAGTTGGTCGAATTTTTCGAGGATGAAGAGAAGTTTTATTTGGTTTTCGAAAAGGTAAGATACACCAGATAAATGCGGCTGCATCAGGACTCCCACACCTCCTAAAACTCATAAAATTCCTAAAATTTTACTTAAATCTTAAAAACTCCTAAAATTCTCCTAAAATGGCAATCAATCTCCTATAACTCCTAAAATCCTAAAAATTAAATTTAAATATTCCAACCTGACTTGCGTTTAATTAAGGTAGTGCTAAAAAAATTCTGTTTTAAAAAGTAATTTAAATATATATATTTTTAGGTTCTATTCTATTAAACTCTTTTTAAAATGATATAATATTACAACCAAAATTTTTCTTAAAAAACAACGATATTTCGTTTTTTAGTCAAAAATATACCGTGTTATACAAACGTGTATATCAAACAAAAGGATTTTTAAATTTCTTTTAAATGACAGCTAAAATAGTAAACAATCTAAAAAATGTTTTGCTGTATTTTGCAAACTTCATATTTTGATATGAGATTTTTAAGTATTAAGATACACATTACAATTGAATCTGTGAGAATAAGAACAGTACAAGTCCAAAAATTTAATTTTGACAATTTATTTTCTAAAATCAATTTTAAAGTTTAAAATACATTTTTGTGAGAAGATAAAAATTATTTTACAGAATATGAATATTATATTTCATAAAATAGTCTAACAATTAGGGATAGAACGATACCGATATTGATATCGGTAAATTGGCATATCGGCAATTGTTTCCGATTATCGGTATCGTATCGTATCGGCAAGATAATTGCCGATATATCGGCAAAAATAAAATTGCGCTTTTCACTCTTCAGTGCATAAATGAAATACTTTATTAAACAAAATAAAAAAAATTTTACTTTTAATATTAAAAAACAACCCTTTTAGGAAACAATAATAGCATATGGCAACAGCGCGGCATGCAGTTTGATCTACTGTGTTTGTTCAGTTCCGACGCTGTCGTAGGGAAATGTGTATAGTTTTTAAGAAATACATTTTCGCCATTAACTGGAATTTAATGGATTTTAAACAATACTTAGTTTTTATTTGCAGAAATGCATTAAAACAAAACAAACGAATTCGATAAAAATAAAACCTATAAATTCTCAATCCCTACCACAGTGGGCGGGGTTTGGCACTTGTTTTATTTAAGTGTATCTATTCGTTTTAATACACACTGTATAAGGGGCTTCCCAGAAATCCGAAATGTCACTCACTACCAATCACAAACGTTTCCTCGCAACGGAATTAAAACGGGACTTCCCGGATTTTTGCTTCGGTCGTGTATAAATAGATGGCATTATGTTTGCCGATACGATATATCGGTATATCGGCACGTACATATCGGTATCGGCCGATATATCGTATCGGCAAAAAAAAGTGATATCGTTCTATCCCTACTAACAATAATGCATTTAGAACTATAAAACTGATTTTTTGAAATATTTTAAAAAACATTTTACTTTTGTACTATTCTTAATCTTACCGATTTAATTACTGTTAGTTATTAACTAAACGGTTAACATATTTATTCTTAAAATATAAATATAACATCATATGATTTTGGCATAGTTTTTAAACCAAGTCTATCGACGCTTTTTTTTTAATAAAATTAAAAGTGTAGTGAAATTTATACTTGTATATATATGTACCTCAGATATATACAAAAGTAGTAATTTTACCTCGCTTTTAATTTTATTTAAAAAAAACTCGTCGAGCGATTGGGCTAAAAAACTAGTCAATATAACTTATTTTTACAAAATAAGTATTAATTTTTTTCTTATTTTTGAAGTAGTATGTATAGAGTTGTTTTTATTTAATTAAAGAAATTCATTTCCATACTTTATTTTTCCTAAAATTTTACAAAAAAAACCTCCTAAATTCCTAAATAAAATTTGTAATTTTGCCGTTTCCTGCATGGAGTAAGAACACATATTCTTTTTATCCAGATAAACGGAGGTCAGTTATTGAGAAGGATCCAGGAGTACAAGTATTTCAGCGAGGCGGCCGCTGCCGAGATCGTGCGCGAAGTGGCATCGGCGCTGAAGTTCATGCACGCTAAAGGGATCGCGCACCGCGATCTCAAGCCCGAGAACATCTTGTGCGTGCACAAGGACCGCCTGTGCCCCATCAAGATCTGCGATTTCGATCTCGGCTCCGGCATACGTTTCCAGTCCAGCGTGTCCAGTCCTTTGGCGACCCCGCAACTGCAAACACCTGTAAGTACCGCTAATTTGCCACTTCACAGGTTTTCTCCCGAAGTCTTTAAGGTAGTTGTCGTGCTATAAGCATACCATCAGAAAATTTTAAATTTTTGTATACATATTACCGTGGATTCATGCAAGCATGTCTTAATACTAACTTAGTCTTTGTCCTTATCTTAAAGAGATAAAACTGTAATAATGAGCGGAACCGTTCATGCAATTTAAATTCGTCTTAACCTAACTTAATTTGAATCCTTATCCTAAGAAAAGTTGGTTTAAGATCCTTATGTCCTAAGTTCTTAATAAAAATAGGCAAATGCGCATGTACTGGTAATGTAGCCAACTTCATAGTCTATTTTGTGGGTTTGTTTTATATTTTTATATGTAATGCGCATGTAAAATCTTTAAGATAATAGTATGTCTGAACGGTTCATTTTCATGGGATAAAGATTAGTACAAGATTGGTACAAAGTTAAGTTAAGTTAATTTAAGACATGCTTGCATGAATCCACCTTTAAGGACATGACAATACAATTATCCTTAAAATTTAAAGTCGATTGACCGATAACCCGAGATAAATTCAATTAAAAACTGGATAATTAACATGGATTGTATACGCTTTCTGTAGTTCTGTACCAGTTTCTTAGTTATAAAAAAAACTAACTGTCAGAAGCTTTCAAAGAACTAACAGTCTTTTAATGTATTTTTGCTGAGTTTAAAAAAAAAAATAATTAAAATTTTTTATAAATTGTTTATAAATAACCGTTTAAAGTTCAACAATTTGTAAAAAAGTATACATCACTAGTGTCAGATAAAAACAACTTGGCAACGCTGTACGCGAGTATAGATATTATTTCCGCAGTAAATTAAAACAGACTTATTCTCCAATATATCTATCTATTGGTTGAGCATAAGCGACGTTGCCAGATTAAAACTTATGAAAATATTTGAAAGTATTACGTAAATGTAACGTCTCCAAGGGTACAGTCTTGCGAAAAAAATATGAATCACTTAGCTACAAGCTCGTATACTTTTACGGTGCGTATAATCTAAAAAAATTTGACAATATTGTACGACGACAACTACCTTAATTATTAAAAGCGCAATATTAAAATTCCTAAATAAATCATAATACGCCCCTTTAATTTATATAATTTTAATTAACATTCAATCTTAAGTGAACCATTTTCATTGTTCCTTTGAGTTTATTTTCTTTTTCGGAATTAATATAACGACTGGCTGAAGCTTCTATGAAGTCAGTACTGACAACGAAGGACAAGATGTAGACGACGACTAGAAAAGATAGGCCCCTGCTGCGAACTTACAACTCCCCAACTGGAAACAGTAATCCCAAATGTTTGTAGTAATACTAAAGTCCCGGTAAAGGGGAATTCCGCGTCGGATTTTAGTCTGCACCGTAAAAAATGTTTTTCTACTCCCACCTTTAAAACGCCCTTTATCGTACATGTTCCCATGACACTAAGTGACCTTTTAAATACAAATTGACAAGTTGTGGCTTTATGGCGCTTTAGTCACGGGCTGAAATTAGCAACAGGTTTTTAGTCACGGGCTGAAGTTAGTTTTAAGTTAGTTGACAGTTGTCAAATGTCATACAATCGTTAAAATAAAGTGCCTTCCTTGTAAAATAATACTAAATGTGAAAATTATTTTATTATCTCAATACAAAAATACAAAAGTAATAAATAGTTTCTCAACGCCAATATTTGAAAAGTTTATATGAACATTGTATTGACCTTTTAATTTCGCAGGGAGTAAACTATAACTTAAATTCGGGCACGGACTCCAGTGGAGTCACTCCACTGTAAAGTGCTCATAAAACATTTTCTTTACTTTCACTGTGAAAAACTGTAAATTTTCAAGAAATACATTTCGATTTATAACCTTTATAATTGTGTTTATAAAATTAAAAAATTTGACATTTGACGGTGACACACAGATTCCCCTTTTGTTTCTTAGATGGCGCTCTTTACAAATTTTTGATTTAAATCATTTTAAGATAATAATAAGTATTTGTCGTAGAAAAAGTATAGTATGCACCTCGTTTAATTCGTGTATAAAATGGCGCTTATCAAACTTGATACATAATATACTATTTTACAAAAATCATAAAGATTGGTAAAGGAGTTTTAAAGTTAGAATTTTTTTACTCATTATGCGTTAATTTTGTCGCGCAGTGTATTTAAACCACATTACCATTAAAAAAATTACGATTGCATTATTTTTTACATTAACATTTTTGCAACTCTGACCTCAAATATGGTACAGTATGGGACGCGGTGGACATCGCACCCAACAAACGGAAGAAACTATGCTTTTGCGGGGCTCGGGAGAGATGAGGCAATAGGGCCAGTTATGGGTAATTCTTTTACAAACCGAACACCTTTTGACCGACACAATTTAGATTTGGCTGAAACTTTTTTTACGAATTCTATGTCGAAAAATAAGAGATACGTGTCCGCATATTTTCGATAATACAAGCTATCGAAAATTTGAGAATAACGAGTTTTTTGACTTGGAGACTCATTTTCAAAAATTTATAACTCTGGTTCTATTTGAGATACAAACTTCTTTTTTTTTCAATTTAAAGCTAAAGGACTGAATTTTGATAAAAAATATGTTTAATAAATATTATTAACAAATTCATATTGTTATTAACAATTTCATTGTTTAAATCAATTTTTAACAATGGCCCCCACCTCGTATTAAGTTGTATTTTTATCGTATTCTCCGTCAAATTTTACATAAAAACATGTTTTCAAAATATTTTACCTTTAAAAAAAGGTTTTTTGTTAATAAAAAGAAAACTATAGCTTGGATCAAAAAAAGTCAAATATAAAAGTTGTAAATAATAAAAAAGATCTACAATATTTATTTTAACGCCGTGTCTAGAGTCCCGTCAGACGGGTCCCTATTGCGCTCCCGTTAATCTTAGGACGGGAAGCAGATCTTTTTTCCTTAACTAACGTCCCGAGTCTGCCCGCTTCGAAACCAACCCAAACCCAACCCAACCAACCCCGCCCCATTGGCCCCCCCCCGCCCCATTGGTCAAATGGTCAAAAATGAGAAAAAACAACCCAAACCAACCCAAACTCAACAACACAACCCAACCGACCCCGCCCCATTGGCCCCCCCCCCCGCCCCATTGCGTAAAAAAATTTCAACAAAGGAATATTCATTTAATTACATTTTATAATATATATATATATATATATATATATATATATATATATATATATTATATAACTGTAGCAAAATGATTATGAGGAAAGGTAAATAAATTAAAATATTAAAGTAAAATTAAATATAAATACTTTTAAGGCCAAATTGTATTCTTTCGGCATAAAATTCTTAAAAAAAAAGTTAAAAAAATTTGTTGAGGCGCCAAGTATCGAACCCCGTACCTCTCGCATGCAAAGCAGGCGCCCTTCCATCGAGCTACCGAGCTTGTTGTAATAATCCTATCGCTCGAAAAATAATACCGATTTACAGTGTGTGACGTCATAAAATGTTAACGGGAGCGCAATAGAGAACCGTCTGACGGGACTCTAGACATTATGTTATTTTAACTACTTATTTTTCTACATAACCTCACTTTTCAAATAAATTGAAAAAATGTTAAAAATCACCTCTTTTAAAATATTTTTCTATAATTTATAATTAATTTATGTTTTTTTTCATGGTATTGATTGCTAATAAATTTAAAAGAGCTGATTTTTAACATTTTTTTAAATTTATTTGAAAAGTGAGGTTATGTCGAAAAATAGTTAAAACAAAAATTGTAGATCTATTTATTAACTACAACTTTTATATTTAACTTTTTTTGATCCGAGCTATAGTTTTCTTTTTATTAACAAAAAACCTTTTTTTATGTGTCGCGCAATATGAATTAATGTTTTAACAATAGTAATAATAAAGGTACCATATTTTGAAAACATGTTTTTATGTAAAATTTGACGGAGAATACGAGGTGGGGGCCATTGTTAAAAATTGATTTAAACAATGAAATTGTTAATAACAATATGAATTTGTTAATAATTTTTATTAAAAATATTTTGTTATCAAAATTCAGTCCTTTAGCTTTAAAAGATGTTTGTAGCTCAAATAAAACCGGAGTTATAAATTTTTGAAAATGGGTCTCCAAGCCAAAAACCTTGTTTTCCTCAAATTTTTGATCAATTGTATTATCGAAAATATGCGAAAGAAAATTCCTCGGACACGTGTCTCTTATTTTTCGATATAGAATCCGTAAAAAAAGTTTCAGCCAAATCGGAGATGTGTCGGTCAATTTTTATCAAAATCCGAACGGTTTGTAAAAGAATTACCCTTATACGACTCTTTCATAGAACTAAACAGTAACAAAGCCTTTAAATTCTTGACCTCTTCCAACCCTGCTATTTAAAAAGTCCTGGAGAGAGAGTGAAATGTAACGGTTATCGTTGTTTTTCAGGTGGGCAGTGCCGAGTTCATGGCTCCCGAGGTGGTGGAAGCTTTCGTGGGCGACACGGAGACCTCGTCGTACGACAAGAGGTGCGACCTGTGGTCGCTGGGCGTGATCACGTACATCCTCTTGTGCGGCTACCCGCCGTTCTACGGCAAGTGCGGCAACGACTGCGGCTGGGAGCGCGGCGACAACTGCCGCGCCTGCCAGAACCTGCTCTTCCAGAGCATCCAGGAGGGCAGGTACGAGTTCCCCGAGGCGGAATGGGGCTCGATCTCCGACGAGGCGAAGGATTTGATCGGGGCGTTGTTGGTGAAGAGGGCCTCGCAGCGCATGAGCGCCGAGCGCGTTCTAAAGCACCCGTGGTTGAAGTGCGCGAGCGACGAGCCCCTCACCACCCCCGCCATCATCAAGAAGAACAACTCGGCGCGCGAGCTGTCGCAATTCGCCGAATCCGCAATGGCTGTGAATAGAGTTGTGCAGCAGCACTTCAGCATGAATTTCGACTATTTGGAACGGCCGAATGTCTATCCGGCGCAAGAGGAGGATATTTCTTCGTCGGCCAAAGTTTTCGGCTTGAGTCCTCCCAGCGAGAGCAATCTCATGCAGCGGAGGATCAAGGGAAGAAATTCGTGCCACTTCTTAGTGCCGGCCATTCCCAGTCCAAGTGGCTGAAAAGGTTGCCCATCTCTTTTTATTCATCTATTATACCTACTATTTTTTTTTCTCTCTTCATCAACAAAACAAATATATATTTAGTTCTTTTTTTTTCGTTTGGCTCTTTATATTACTACAGAAATGTCAAATTCATTTGATTGATTATTATTATTGTATGAAGCTCTGCTGGGCTGACGTTTTTCTAATTTTTTTTTCTATTTGATGATCGGGTTTTTTCGCGTGACAACACACCAACGCAAAATTTGTCGATTACACGCGTTTTAATCAATTTTCTCAGAAAGAATCTAAAGCTGCATAACAAGATATCTGTCATTTTTTTCGAAAATAATGGAAATGATTCAAAACGGCTTTTAACAATTTTAACATTATTCTTATGATTCTAACCTCCTTGACTATCGGTGCTCATTGACGGAACTCGAGTGAATCCTGGTCACGGCACCAAATTCATTTGTGTTAAAGATGTACATTTAAATTTAAGTGTACAAAGCCCCGCGGAGATTATAAATGTATAATTTTTTCATAAATAGTACATTTTGAGCCATTTCCAGCAATTTTTCGAAAAACATTTTAACTATTAAATAAAATAATTTTCAACTCGTATTTTTTTCATTTTTTGACTTGTATCATTGAGTTCAATTTGTTTGAGCTTAATAATATACGTCAAAACAAGGAACAACATTTTTCTTTCCGTAAATTGATCAAACCCGCCCGTAATCTATAAAATTTAAACTGGTCTGTTTTGACGTAAATGCACCGAATTGGGAAACCCAACGGCAAAATCGCGTTTCAAAATTTCGTCTATGACGTTGAGGGGCGGTTTTCGGTTGGGTTTCGTCGAAGGCCTAGATTATAGATATTGCGCTTGATTTTTAATACTTTTGTATGTGTTGAGGCGAATTGGCCCCCAAACCAGTTTGCATTGTGATAATTAAATAAGCATCTGACCGTGCGAGTTAGACGCACGATAGACTGTAGACAGCCGTACCTGCTTTTTGTTCAGTGAGATACGGAACATTGTATATTTTTGGGACGACGTCCCGTTAAAAGTGGGCACCGACCGCCCCGTTTGCCGCCCGCGACAATTTAGTCATTATTTTACGGTCGACGGCCATTTTGCTGCTGCAGTGTCGCGAAAAAACGCTGGCAACGGCCATACCGCGTTGAATACGCCAGTTCGCGTCCCAATTTCCACAATTTTAATTTGATTGCGTTGAAATTTTAACACAATTAAGAAGATAGATGAAGCCACAATATTTGTAAGTTTCATTAAAATCGGACAAAATTTGCCCGAGTAACAGCACTTTAAATTTTGAAAATTGTCGAATTTTGGCTAAAAACGATTAGTAATTAATTTTTTTCGGTCTACATTGCAGAAAATGGCTGCTGACCTGTGTTATTATTAGTATTATCATCAAAAAGTTATCGTGTTTGTTAATTTCGTTACATATCATAGCGGTTAAGCATAAACATTGTTTTCAAAAGAAAAACTCAAAAAAAAAATATTTAGGGGTGTGGCGCGCGACAAATAGGGCGGGCGGTCTCAAAAGTACTGACAGTCCATGTATTCTAAGAGTCCTATATAAGTTTGGATATTTTTTTAATGTCTTGTAATGCTCAAGGGTAGTTTCTCTTTTATATGATTGGAATGGTATCCAAACCAGGGCGCGTGTCAACCAAACGTTCAATGGATTCAGGATGTCGAAAATTACAGACACCAGTAAATTTATCGCGCTGTCCATTGAACGTTTGATCTTCCAACACTCAGGGTTGTAATTTGTTTGAGAGGGTGAGTCGTAAACTACATAATTAACTTGAAAATACTGTGCTCGAAGTTCAACGAAATTTTTGATATCACGTCTGGATAATAATGGCCAAATAAAGTCTTTTCGTTGAACTTTGATAAATACTTAAAACGGAAGTAGCCAAATTAAATGGGTAACATCACAAACCTTTATTACATCATCCAAAGGATGCTTCACTATGTCATTTGGGATTACTTAAGAATAATTTGGCTTTTCTACAAAGGAGACTCGACAACGTGTTGTGTGAATGTGATATAATGTATGAATGAATCCCAGAATTTAAGAAAACCTAGAATTCTATCAAGAGTTGAGTATTCTTTTTTTCTAATTTTTATGTTAAGGCATTTATAATTCATGAAAAGTGCTGTATACAAGAGCAGTCTGTTTCCAATCAATTATACCAAAAAATTACAAACAGATATATTGGATAAATTTTTATATGCCATGGTTACTGGACCATGAGTGCCATGCTATTGAGTTTGATTGTGATCTGTCCACTATGATTTACAATTTTATTTTTTTACTAACCATAGTGCACAGAACATGATCTATACAGGATTATTATATTGTTATTCATTATTGACATGTTTTTTTCGACAAAGGCATGCCCAACAATGATGGAAATTTATGTACCACGTGTGCTTTAATTTCGTATAATAAAGACCGATTTTTTTACAAAATTAATTTGATTTTTACTTCACAATCCCTATCCATTAAAATAAAAAGGTAAGCTTTGATATTAATTTATTAAAAAGTAGATCGATAAAGCTACAATATTTGTAAGTTTCATTAAAATCTGACAAAATTTACCCGTGTAACAGCACTTTCAATTTTGAAAATTGCCGAAGTTTTGATAAAAAACTTTCGTAGTGTTTCGAAAAAACGCTGGCAACGGCCATACCGCGTTGAATACGCCAGTTCGCGTCCCAATTTCGACAATTTTAATTTGATTGCGTTGAAATTTTAACACAATTAAGAAGATAGATGAAGCCACAATATTTGTAAGTTTCATTAAAATCCGACAAAATTTGCCCGAGTAACAGCACTTTAAATTTTGAAAATTGCCGAATCTTGGCTAAAAAACGGTTAGTAATTAATTTCGGTCTACATTGCAGAAAATGGCTGCTGACCTGTTATTATTAGTATTATCATCAAAAAGTTATCGTGTTTGTTAATTTCGTTACATATCATAGCGGTTAAGCATAAACATTGTTTTCAAAAGAAAAACTCAAAAAAAAAAATATTTAGGGGTGTGGCGCGCGACAAATAGGGCGAGCGGTCTCAAAAGTACTGACAGTCCATGTATTCTAAGAGTCCTATATAAGTTTGGATATTTTTTTAATGTCTTGTAATGCTCAAGGGTAGTTTCTCTTTTATATGATTGGAATGGTATCCAAACCAGGGCGCGTGTCAACCAAACGTTCAATGGATTCAGGATGTCGAAAATTACAGACACCAGTAAATTTATCGCGCTGTCCATTGACCGTTTGATCTTCCAACACTCAGGGTTGTAATTTGTTTGAGAGAGTGAGTCATAAACTACATAATTAACTTGAAAATGCTGTGCTCGAAGTTCAACGAAATTTTTGATATCACGTCTGGATAATAATGGCCAAATAAAGTCTTTTCGTTGAACTTTGATAAATACTTAAAACGGAAGTAGCCAAATTAAATGGGTAACATCACAAACCTTTATTACATCATCCAAAGGATGCTTCACTATGTCATTTGGGATTACTTAAGAATAATTTGGCTTTTCTACAAAGGAGACTCGACAACGTGTTGTGTGAATGTGATATAATGTATGAATGAATCCCAGAATTTAAGAAAACCTAGAATTCTATCAAGAGTTGAGTATTCTTTTTTTCTAATTTTTATGTTAAGGCATTTATAATTCATGAAAAGTGCTGTATACAAGAGCAGTCTGTTTCCAATCAATTATACCAAAAAATTACAAACAGATATATTGGATAAATTTTTATATGCCATGGTTACTGGACCATGAGTGCCATGCTATTGAGTTTGATTGTGATCTGTCCACTATGATTTACAATTTTATTTTTTTACTAACCATAGTGCACAGAACATGATCTATACAGGATTATTATATTGTTATTCATTATTGACATGTTTTTTTCGACAAAGGCATGCCCAACAATGATGGAAATTTATGTACCACGTGTGCTTTAATTTCGTATAATAAAGACCGATTTTTTTACAAAATTAATTTGATTTTTACTTCACAATCCCTATCCATTAAAATAAAAAGGTAAGCTTTGATATTAATTTATTAAAAAGTAGATCGATAAAGCTACAATATTTGTAAGTTTCATTAAAATCTGACAAAATTTACCCGTGTAACAGCACTTTCAATTTTGAAAATTGCCGAAGTTTTGATAAAAAACTTTCGTAGTGTTTCGAAAAAACGCTGGCAACGGCCATACCGCGTTGAATACGCCAGTTCGCGTCCCAATTTCGACAATTTTAATTTGATTGCGTTGAAATTTTAACACAATTAAGAAGATAGTTGAAGCCACAATATTTGTAAGTTTCATTAAAATCGGACAAAATTTGCCCGAGTAACAGCACTTTAAATTTTGAAAATTGCCGAATCTTGGCTAAAAAACGGTTAGTAATTAATTTCGGTCTACATTGCAGAAAATGGCTGCTGACCTCTGTTATTATTAGTATTATCATCAAAAAGTTATCGTGTTTGTTAATTTCGTTACATATCATAGCGGTTAAGCATAAACATTGTTTTCAAAAGAAAAACTCAAAAAAAAAATATTTAGGGGTGTGGCGCGCGACAAATAGGGCGAGCGGTCTCAAAAGTACTGACAGTCCATGTATTCTAAGAGTCCTATATAAGTTTGGATATTTTTTTAATGTCTTGTAATGCTCAAGGGTAGTTTCTCTTTTATATGATTGGAATGGTATCCAAACCAGGGCGCGTGTCAACCAAACGTTCAATGGATTCAGGATTTCGAAAATTACCGACACCAGTAAATTCATCGCGCTGTCCATTGAACGTTTGATCTTCCAACACTCAGGGTTGTAATTTGTTTGAGAGGGTGAGTCGTAAACTACATAATTAACTTGAAAATGCTGTGCTCGAAGTTCAACGAAATTTTTGATATCACGTCTGGATAATAATGGCCAAATAAAGTCTTTTCGTTGAACTTTGATAAATACTTAAAACGGAAGTAGCCAAATTAAATGGGTAACATCACAAACCTTTATTACATCATCCAAAGGATGCTTCACTATGTCATTTGGGATTACTTAAGAATAATTTGGCTTTTCTACAAAGGAGACTCGACAACGTGTTGTGTGAATGTGATATAATGTATGAATGAATCCCAGAATTTAAGAAAACCTAGAATTCTATCAAGAGTTGAGTATTCTTTTTTTCTAATTTTTATGTTAAGGCATTTATAATTCATGAAAAGTGCTGTATACAAGAGCAGTCTGTTTCCAATCAATTATACCAAAAAATTACAAACAGATATATTGGATAAATTTTTATATGCCATGGTTACTGGACCATGAGTGCCATGCTATTGAGTTCGATTGTGATCTGTCCACTATGATTTACAATTTTATTTTTTTACTAACCATAGTGCACAGAACATGATCTATACAGGATTATTATATTGTTATTCATTATTGACATGTTTTTTTCGACAAAGGCATGCCCAACAATGATGGAAATTTATGTACCACGTGTGCTTTAATTTCGTATAATAAAGACCGATTTTTTTACAAAATTATTTTGATTTTTACTTCACAATCCCTATCCATTAAAATAAAAAGGTAAGTTTTGATATTATTTTATTTTTTATGTTATTTTATCAAAAAGAAAGATATTTTTATTAAAAACGTGAATAGTCTAAGGCCCAAAAAAGATGTGACGTGTCGCAGAGAGCGCCCTCTACAACCTACAATAATTTTTTATTAAATTAAGTTTTCCTAAAACCTAAAAAGCCCCCAAAACCAAATTTTGTGCATAAACGTATGTTTTTTTCAAAGTTATTTAATACAATTAAAAAAGTATTTAGTTAAGTTTTTCAGCTGAAGTATAAATACTAAAAATACTAAATCCAACTGGCATAAGCTACCAACTCGATAAAAAAACACGAGTCCAAATTTAAAAAAATGTAATCTATTAAAATATTGTTTTTACATTTTTCTATTACTGAAATAAAAACTATTATCCATTATAGTTGATAATTACATTACATTTATTGTATTTTTTAAACATTTCAACCAAAAAACTTTTGACATGATTCAGCAACAGCGCGGATGCTCACAATTTGACAACGTTGTATCATGCAAACTACAATTCAAAGCTTTGTCCATGGAGCCTATACAAGGAGCCCGAACTTCATGTAAACAAGAATCTTCCTAAGATAAGAGGGCGCTAGTGTACTACCGGTCCAAAACAGTGGAGTGGTATAACCAGAGATGGCGCCACTACCTACCACTTATTATTGTGGAAATAATTGAGGTTATGCAACTGTCAGTTTATCGCTTTTTGAAAACAATGTACACATGTACCTGGTTTTGTGTATAAAGGTCTTAATTTACAATAAATTTATATCAAATTTAACATTGGAATTCATGTTGGACTTTCTGATGTAGAGTATAGTACAGTTTTTTATAAATACGTGTTTTTTTCTATAAAAGAATGTCGTGTGATGCTAAATCGTGTAAAACCATAAACTAACAGAATATTAAATCCATATGGTATTTATTTTTAGTTTTATAGGTAGATGGCTTAAATAAAAGTTCAATATAAACAAATAAAGGTGGAAATTATTAAATATGCTGTTTACTCATTTTATACATACATTTTTATTTAAATTAAATTTAAATTATTAAATAGCGGTGTATTTCTAACCTGGAAATCTAATTTTGCCTCTCCAGAGTCGTAAAATCACTTCACAGATTATAAAGAATCACTTATATTTCACAACCAAAACCTATTTATTTTGCTTCTCCAGAGTCGTAGAATCACTTCACAGATTATAAAGAATCACTTATATTTCACAACCAAAACCTATTTATTAGAATCTACCTACCAGGTACAGCCATAAATAACAAAACGATTCGTACGTCAAAACATTATTGCAAATCAATTGTCAAAATTACTTGCTTACTTCACATCATAGTTTTTCTATGCTTCACATGTATTTTTGATACTATTTTCACGTCATACGGACGCATTGACAAACAGCGCCGCTGGTGGTGAAAAAAAAAGACTTAAATTGTGCAATTTAGTGGACAGGTTTTGTCAATTTTCCCTATTAAGTTCGGGCTCCTTGTGTAGGCTCCATGGCTTTGTCTCTGGCTTGCATTTATGGCTTATGTTCTGTGATTTATGGTTTGTCGGTTAACGATTACAGAGTTGTTTATCTGGTTTATTTTTATGCACAGAGCTGTGTTTGATGGTTTATCCTGTTTGTTGTATATTGAAATAATTGCCATTCGCAAAATAATTCAACATTTTAGGTATGTTTTAAAACATTTGTTGTTAGTTTAATATGCATTTGATAGATTTGATCACAATGTGGATTGTGTATTTGATAAAATATTAAACTTTCGAATAAATTGTATGAATCGTATAGCCATAAAGTTGATAATTAATAGAGTTATTTAGTTTGTTTTGTAAACGGGGGAATCCCGTAGATTTTTAACCTCATCAATCAATGTTTATTTTCTTTATAGACCAAAATGGCGAACGACGTACCAACCAATTTAAACGACAATCTGTTAAAAGAGAAAATCTTTAACTGCAAGATTTGCGATGAGCTTTGCATCTCCGATATATTTTTCATAATCGGTAAAGGAAACGTATGTTCTAAATGCTACGAAAAGTGCGAAGATAAATCGAGGGCTGAGTTAAATTCCGCTCATATCTTTGTTATGTCTCATCTTATTTTGCCGTGCAAGTACGAATCCAAGGGCTGCATTAAAAAACTGACATGCAAAAATTATGGGAAGCATGTCAATGTTTGTGAATACAAAGTGAAGCCTTGTCCGATGGTGAATAATAAAGGTTGCACTTGGAATGGAACTAATTTTGAAATTGCCGATCATTTCGCAGAGGATCACAAAGATCATGTGGTTAAAGGTGAAAATAGCATTTTTAAAGTTGATACATCCCTATCCGAACAATTCAACATAAAATTATTGATTGATGACCACAAAAACTGCATTTTAAAGACAGCCATCATTGATAATAAATATTATTATGCCATTAATCCCACTGTGCAGCTGGAAGAATATGTTGAATATCCAGTAAAACACATCAGCAAAGTTACGCAGAATTATATAAGAACTGTAGGCACCCTCACCAAGCTGAACAGTATTTATAAAGAGTCAAATATGAATAAAAACCCTAATGCGACAGAGGTTATAAATTTGGAGTCATTGAAACATTTTGCGGATGAAAACAATACAATAGTCAATGAATTTAATTTAAACCCAAATGATATTGAGGAAAAAACATTGGAACTATTGAAATGTCCAGGCTGCAAGAAAAAACTGAGACCGCCAATTTATCTGTGTGCAAATGGACACAGCATCTGTATTTTGTGTCATGACAAAGAAAAGGAATGTCCCACATGCAATGGAGAATGGACCAACACAAGAAATTCTGTGGTAGAGGATTTAATTAAAAATTTAAAATATCCATGCCAATATAAAGAATTTGGGTGCAAAGAATTTGGCAGTGAACCTGAAGTTAGCAAACATGAAGAATCTTGTCCATTACATATCTACAAATGTCCAATGGAGACCTGCAATGAATCTGGTAACTACAAATTCATAGTGGAACATTTGAATAGTGCACATGAGGATATGGAACTTACTTCAAATTTATTATTTTCATATTCAATGCAAAGAAACGAAAAATGGACTTTGTTTAATTCAAAGATATTCAAAATAACATATTATTTGACTAAAGGAAGTTATTTTTTTATGAACTGGATTGCTGAATTGGTTTGCTCCAATGAAGATCCCAGTTCCTATATTTATACAGTAGAAATCGTAAAGGCTCAAGAGGAATGGCCATTAATAAAAAGTGCCGCTTGTTTAAAAACGGGTAATTTTCCTGAAAGAAATAAAGATATGAGTCTTAAGTATGCAGACTCTACAAAATTTAACGTCTCTTTAAAAAAAAAGAAACCAGCAAACTAGAAATAATAAAATGCTTAATTAATGTTAAAAATAATTTATAAATACAATGTTTATGTATGATTACAATTTATATTAATAAATCTATAACCCAACGCATTTAGACATTTTCTTATCGTTTGTATTGCTGTTAAGCTGCAGTATCTTTAATGTTACAAATTTTAATCACGTGGGTTGTTTTAACAAGGCTATCTAAAAAAATTGGAAAAAAATCCAACCAAAAAGTAAAATCTATTTTTTTTAAATGGAAATTTTAAAGGTTAGTTACTTTTTTCAGAAAATTTAAAAATATATTTAAGTATTTAAAATACCTATGCGTTCTATTGAAAAAAACAAATACTTTTAAATCGCCATTTTTGCGGGGTTTAAAAAGAGTCAACTTGTATATTATTATGTAATTATGTCTATGATTATTAACTTTAAGCGTAGTTTTGACTTTTTATTGGACCATTTTTGTTTTTTACAAAATAATAAAATAATAAATTTTTATTTCATAATTCCTTACACATTAAAATACAAAGTAAGCTTAATATATTTTGTTTATCTACAAATTTTATGGAAATTATTTCTTTTGATTGTTTTTCGAAATTTATTTTTTACTATTTTTTTAAACATTTTGATTTTATTCTTTTTCACTGTTTCCATTTTTTTTTTTTAAATAATCTTTTCATTACCTACATTTGTTTGTTTTTTTTAATCTTGTTTTTTAGCTTTTTGGGTTTTATTTATTTTTTTTTTTTTACTTTTAATAATAATTATAAATTACACTGTGCGACAAATTTTGACCTTACAATTTGAACTGGGATGAAATGTGGAAAAATCGAATCTATGCAACCCCCAAAACTATTCTTTAAAGGGGTTTTGCTAGTTTAGCTCGAATAATGGAGATATACATATATATATGTATATCTCCATTATTCGAGCTAAACTGGTAAAACCCCTTAAAGGATTTGTTTTGGGGGTTGCCTAGATGTCAGATTAAAATAATAATATTTTTACGATAGTAGTTAACCCTTTTGTTTTAAAAAAAACTGTTATCTTTCTATAAAAGAATCGGCCTAATAAAATCTAATAGCAAATTATAAATTAAATGTTATTAAGTATAGATTTCAGCAAAAAGTTATATCTAACTGTTTGTAGATGTCGCTGCAGACCGTCTGCATCATATACTTACTTGTGGTAAGTATATGGTCTGCATGTCAAAATTTGATCTTCACATTTTTAGTTTTTTTGCAGTCACATTGTGTAGAAAAAAAAAATAACGCCTGGAAAAATTTCACTTACATAACTGCCTATTAAGTACTATTCAATTTTAATAATAATAAACATCCCAGATAGCAAACGTGAATACGAAATCACGCGTGAGTGAATAATGTGTGCTATATGATTTCACACGTGAAGTCTTGAACTCGTAATTCACACGTGAGTAGATTATGAATTCATATTATAGTCTCGTGTGATTTAATCGATTTTATTTTAAAATATATTTAAATTTTTATTATTTATTTTATTATAATAAAAAAATATTTAATATGGTATAAAATCTGTAATATTTATATTTTTTAATTAAAATTTTAAATTTGTCGATAAATTATAGTGGAGTATAAATTGCACCACTTTAATTTGAATTACGCTGTGGCTCCCGTCCCGAGGCGGGACTTAAGTTCAGTCCCGATTGACGTCATAATTTTAAGATTTGTTATAATAAAATAATAATAATAATAAATTGTACCTGTATACATGTTAAGGGCACGTTAGTTACGTCATAAAACCAAACCAACCCAAACTCAACAACACAACCCAACCGACCCCGCCCCATTGGGCCCCCCTCCGCCCCATTGAGCAAAAAACCCAACTAAAATGGGCAAATTTATGTTACGATAAAAATAAAACACTTTTTAACAAAGAAACAACAAATTTATAAAATAAAAAAAGTTTGACAACTTCTAGTAGAATCGAACCCGGTACCTCTCGCATGCTAAGCGACCGCCCTACCATCTAAGCCATCCAGCTTAACACCAATTATAAAAGCTCGGGGAATAAAAACGGATTTACAGTGTGTGACGTCTGTCGTGATCGAAGTTAAGTCCCGCCTCGGGACGGGAGCCACATCGTTTGAATTATCCCAAATGGGGGGGGGCCAGAAGCCAGGTAAGGCGACACAAAAAACTAACTTTTTTTCGCAAACTTTAATTTAAATTTGCGCAGAACTTGTCTATTTAATGTCATTGTAAACTATTATAAATTTGGAGTGGGTCCCACGTCTAATAAGTGAGATATTGGTATACCCAAAATCCCCAATCCGCCACTGATATATATTATTATAATTATATATATTATAGTAATATATATAATTACATAATATATATTGGTTTAAAAGGTCACAATTATATGTTATAGGTACATTAATAATTAATATATGTATATTATATATTAATAAATTAATTAGTTAACCTTAAGGTTATAATTGTAATGTATAACCTATAATTGAGGAGCAATCAACCAAAACCAGATAAATCCATTTTGACTTCTTGAATGATTCATATTTCTTTTAGTCGGATAAATCAATTGGAAAAGTGAATTTCAAGATAAACTTATTATAATAATATATATATTATATACTAATATATTAATATTAGTATATAATATAATAATTATTATATAATATTAATATTATGATCATATCATATTATGATAACAAGTTTAGCTTGAAATAGATATTTCCAATGGATTTATCTGAACAAAAGAAATAGGAACCATTCAAAAAGTCGAAATGGATTTATCTGGTTTAGTCTGATTGCTTCTCAATTATGGCCTTTTAAACCAAGTTTTTGTGTATTTTTTTAAGATGTTAAAATAAATATTTCGACAGATTAAATTATTTTGAAAAATGAAATCCATATTCTAAAAGCGCATGCGCAAAAAATAAAAAGTTCACGCGTGATGGCAAATTGAGCATCAATTGAGGACTCATCTGTCGCGTTATATGAATTCACGCGTGAATTTAATTTTCACGCGTGAATTCGTAGTGAATTCATAGTGAATTCATTTTGCCATCTGGGATCTTTATTGGTTTCCCAACAGGCTATCGACCGTGGTCTTTCTGCCCAATTTTACAAAAAAAATTTATAAATATAATAATTGTTAATTGTAGTTACAATATTGAATTTATATAAAAAAAAAATAATAATAAAAACATAAATCTCAAATATTTTAGTCTTCGTTAGTGATGTCCGTGATTATCTCCCATAAAGTTTGTGTAGGATATTTCCTTTTGGGGGGCAGGTTATGGTCTCTACCGTGCATTAAGTTTTCCATAATTTGTATGTTGTGGTGTTTTTTTGCAAATTGGCATGCCAGCTCCTTGAAACGTTCCAAAATGGGGGTGACCTGCGTTGTTTCGTATAGCAGTTGATTTGATGGATTATGAAGTGGATTATCTGGGTGTCTCATTTTGGTGATTATTCTCAAACTACTCCGTTCAGCCACTTCTAGCTTACCTACAGTAGTTTTTTTGCAATTTAGGTAGATTAGGAAGGCATATTCAATAATGGGCCTGCATATCATTTTATAGATTTTAATCGCAGTTTCAGGTTGTATACCGTTATTTTTGTATGTCAGGCTTCTGAAATGTTTGGCTCTTGTAATCATCTTGGTTTTCATTAATTTGGCATGTAAATTGAAATTGAGTTTGCTATCTAAATGTATTCCAAGGTATTTGCATGAATTAGATGGTCGTATTTGTTGATTAAACATTTTTATAGAGGGGGAATTTATATTTATTTTGTGATTGAATATTATTAGTTGAGTTTTATTGGGATTTGGTTTTATTCTCCACTTGGAAAAAAACTGGATTATATTATTGCAGAGATTTTGTAAGTGAATCAAAGTGAGTTTTAAATTTTTCTGGTGTGCAATTAAAGCTTTATCATCTGCGAATTCTAGAATATATGTGTTAGGATTAAATTGTTGAGAATAGATGTCGTATGTGAATAGGTTGTATAGAATGGGGGATAAAGGAGAGCCTTGCGGGACACCTTGTTGCATAGAAAATGATTTAGATAATTTTTGATTGTGTTTAACTAGACTCAGTCTATTTTTTAGAAAGTTATTTATAAAGTGAATTAGATATTTTGGACAATTTAAGCTGTATAATTTGTATAATAGGCCGGCATGCCACACACTATCGAATGCTTTACTAATGTCCATGAAGAGAGCTGCTGATTTGTTGCCTTTTAGATTGTTTGTTTGAACATTCGAAGTTAGAATAAGCAGTGGATGGATTGTGGAAGAATTTTTTCTAAAGCCAAATTGATGGGGTGGAATCTTGTCGTCTAGTTCTTCTTCTAGCCTTATTTTAATGATTTTTTCTAAGTTTTTTCCAATGACTGGTAGTAAAGTAATTGGGCGAAAGTTGGTTGTTTTTGTCAGATCGCAATTCGGTTTAGGAATGTTTATTATAATTCCTTTTTTAAATTCTTGTGGATAGTATCGGTTTTTATTACAGTAATTATAATTATATATATATATATATATATATATCTAAAACTTTTCCATGGAATTCAGCACATAAGTTTTTAAGAGTCTTTTTGGAGATATGGTCATAACCTGGTGCTGTATTTTTGCCGGTATTTAGTACATGATAATATTCCTCTTCAGTAACTTCAGGCACTTCTCCAGGGTCGGTATGGTCGTTAAAGTACAACTCGTACCAGTCATTTATTTCTTTGAAGCTTTGATCATCAAAGTTTATATCTTCCGACATTTCATATATTTTCTTGTAATGTCTGCCAAAAGCATCTGCCACATCCTGGTCCTCATTGAGCACAACATTATTTTCTACAATTTCAACATTTTTATGAGTGTGCTTTTTGTAACCTGAAAGTTTTTTTATTTCTTGCCAATAGTTTTTGCCTTTTAAGTTACTTATATTCTTGCATGCTTCAAGATATTTGGTGGATTTATATTGCAAAATTAATATTTTAATGTCTTTGTTTAAATCATTGAATTTAGATTTTAGGTTTTGGTTATCATATTTGTGGATTTCTCTAAGCATTTGTCTTTATTCAATTTTATTTTTAAAATATTTAATTTTTGTAATTCCTTTGTTTGAATCTTCTTTTTTAAATTTTGTATTGATTTTTTGTGCTTTTATTTAGTTTTTTAATTTTGCTGTTTTTACTTTTTTTATTTTTTTAATATTTTAATAATTTTTTTTATTTCTCTTTGGTTATTGATTTTTTTTACATTTTTTCTTATATGTATATAATAATTATTATAATTACAATTTTGGTTTGCATTTTCTTTTCTTTTTGCATTTTTTCTTTTATTATAACTTTTAATTAATTTCGTTTTAAATTTTAATGTTTTTTTTTTTTAATATTTCTTTTGATGTTTTTGTTAAAAGTTTTTATGTTTTTTGCATTAATTTTTTGCAGGTATAGCAAAATATTACTATACCTCCCCTATAACATATTGATCATGATGGAGAAAAATATAAATCAGTATTCATTTATATTTAATTTTCGATATTTTCATTTTTCAAATTCTTTTTATTTTGTTTTTTTACAATATATTTGATTACTTTTGTTTTAATTTTCTTTTTTAATCTTTTCTTTTTTTATTGATTTTTTTGCTTTCGATATTTTTTCATTTCTTTTTAAATTTGAGATGTTTTTTGGGTTAAAATTTTGTTTTTCTTTTTTTATTTGGATTTTTGATTCGGTAATAGAAAGAGCAGGTATATGGAAGGTATAGCAATATAATGGAGGAAAATAAAAATCAACATATATTCATTCATTGTTACTATAATAAGTAAACCCATTAAAAAAACATGTATAGTTCTTAATAAATAAACTTTCATAAATAATCTGTTTTTAAGTATGACACATGGCAGTGAGGAGAAGCGGACAAGTAACCAAAAATACAAATACCCATATGGACGAACGCAGTCGTTATCACTTAACCGTAACAAACTTAAAATAACATCACAATTTTCGTTAACTAAATTATTAAGTTACATCCTCCATCGATCAAAGTCAATCTCTAACGCGCATGTTCCAAATACTGGTCCTCCTCAAGCCCACCGTCGGTCTCGCCACCGAGCTGAATACGAACTTGTTTAACTGCACCTGCGGCCCCAACCCGTCCCCGATTTGCCGCAACTCGGCCCTATCCATGTACCCGTGCACGTCCAGGTACGAGAGATTTGAGCTCTTCTTCAGATGCCTGAAAATATAATTTTTCCTGAAACTTGACACTTTCTATAGAAAGCAATACACCAATCAGTTTTTCCACGGCCACAGCATGGTGCAAGAAAACAAGGTATGTTTTCCGCATCTGTATCCACCACTCCATCAGATTGTCGAAGAGGTGGGAGCACCCAGTCGCAGCCATATTGGCTATTTACATTTTGATGTTGTTTTAAGTGTAAAAAATGTCTACCCGCCAAGTGAAAATCTGCAAAAACAATGCGAAAAGAAAAAAACCTGGAAATCCAGTACGGGCTTGAAAAAATTGATTTTAAGAATCGTAAGTAGATTTATTTTAAAAACAATTAAATAGCAGTAGTTGTTTTAGAGTTACTTTCCTTTTGTATATGGGTGACTCTACAAAATTTAGACTTGATGTTGTCAATAAAGTAGGTATTTTAATATTTTTTGTAAATATTTTAGTAGGTATATTACAAGAGATCCAGGTTTTTTAACTTGTCCACCCAATTTTAATGTGTTTTTTCAAAATCACGTTTGTAGAAAAACATAATAAATATTCAGCAATTTAAAAAAAATTGATAATCTTTGTACTCACTTTTACCCGTTAAAATAGACACATTGTGTTTGTAAAAAAATACCTATAGAGCCCGCTCTTTGCACGACAGTAATCTTGAAAACAATGCAAGCGGCGAAGTTGTGGTGAATGCACGTATAGTTCCAGTCAAAATTTCAGTAGTGTGGTGAGTAGTATATACATATATTTCATTGTAATTTATATAAGGCTACGTGTGATTTGTTGATAAGTAGCATCCACTAATAAAAAATATCAGTAAAATACTTAATTCCGAATTATAATCTCAAATTTGTATCCGTTTCGTCAGTTCCATGTTCGATGTTTCGGTTATCTTTTTTTCGCAAACTTCAATTTAAATTCTGCTTGCGCAGAACTTGTTTATTTAATGTCATTATAAACTCATATAAATTTGGTGAGGGCCTGGGTCCCATATCTAATAATTGAGATATCGGTATACCCAAAATCCACCAGCCGCCACTGATGTGTGGTATTATTTGATTTTAAGATATTTAATGTATAATATGCTCAAAGTTGCAATAAATCTTATATTTTCCAATAAATTATGTATTTAATTAGTACCCTGGTATACTCGTTACTTCCCTTGCATTCAAATTTAGAAAACACAGATATTTTAGAAACTGTTTGAGAAAGTGACTGGCCCGGTCTGGAACAGTATATTTATTATATTATCTATGTTCTCATAACAAAATACTGTTTAATTTTCTCCGAAACCTATATAAACAAAATGAGGTCAAAAGTTGCCCAACTTTTGTAGAATCACCCATATACAGATTATCTGTGACAGATATATAAATAAAAAAATAATTTAGGTTAATATTTTTGATTGTTTTGTAGCTTGTACTTGTTAAATTTACTTCAAAGATAGTTGCTATAAAAAGGAAAATTGGATAAAAAAACATACAAACTACATTCCCATAAACAGTTTTGAAAAGTTGATACGGTTTCAACTTTACACTTAACAGCTGATCTATCAAAAGAGGAATCAAGTACTTTGTAAAAAATTAAAATAAAAATGGAAAAATCAATATAAATCATACTTTGAAGTTGCTATAAGAAGGAAAATTGGATCGAAAAAACATACAACCAACATTCCCATAAAAAAGTCTTTTAAAGTGGATTCCAACTTCCAACTTTACACTAAACAGCTGATCTATCAAAAGAGAAATCAAGAACTTTGTAAGAAATTAAAATAAAATTGGAAAAAACAATATAAATCATAGTTTTTTTACAGTGTGCAAGACAGCCTGTAACAAAAACTAACTCTAAGAAATCAAGTACTGCATTGTAAGAAATTAAAATAAAATTTGAAAAACAAAATTAAATCTTTATTTTTGCACCGTGCAGGAAATGAGCCAAGACAAGAACGCTAATGATCTTCAAGGACAGTCCATAACAGAAACTCAAACTGCAGCATGCTGCTGATAATGGAGGCTCGGGATTAAAACATCCCAAAAGCATAAAAAACAGCTTTACCATACCTTAATATAATATTTTTCAGTTTAGTTTGTTTTATTTATTATTTTGTTTTAGTTTGTTTTATTTAATGGTGGCCAATTTATGTCTTCTATTTGGCAACTAAACCTTAATTGCAATTATTTGTAAATACAATTTTGTAATAAATAAATTTGGAAAAAATATGTAACTCGACACTTTTCATTTCATTCTTTATATTTGTTTAAGCACTTTTTTCATATATTTTATAGGGTATTTAGCAAATATTATTTACTTTAAAACAATATATTTTATTTGATTGAAAACCATATAAAATAGTTTTTTCATTAATAAAATTTTCTTGAAATGTTAATATTGTGACTTAGATCGTTTTTACTTGGGATCTCCAAATTATTCGACAATTTAATCTAAAACGAATGATTTTATATAAATTTAGATGAATTTCATAAGAGAGTAATATTTAAATTTAAAACATCATTTATATTCAAAGGCGGGAATGAACTAAGATGGCGGTAACTGGGTGGTGCGCAGTGAACGAAAATTCGTACTGCTGAAGAACATACCTTGTTTTCTTGTACCAATGCTGTAGAGTTTTATATTATTAAACTGATACCCCAAAAGTTTGGATTCAGAAAATTTTGTTATAAAATAAATATTTTCACAAAAACGAATTATTAAAAATCTCACTGTAACAATGCTTGGTACTTACAGTAATGACTTGTATGGTATTGAGTAACATCTGGATAAAGCCAAAAAATGTAAATCCTCCAGAATTGCAATTTTTCTTACACTTTCCCCGGTTATTATGGTACAATCTGATAAGTCTAATTCTCTCAGTCTTGGGCAACTGGACACTAAATCTGACACATCTAAAAATCATTAGTAACATTTTTGTTGTGTTTAAATTTATTAAACAATCATACTTTTATCATTCAATAATTTCCTGCATCCTGAAAAGTTAAGCCTATCCATAGAGGACGGTAAATTCTCGCACAAATATTGAATACTTTTGCTGTTCAAGTAGGTCCAAGCTACGTTTAATTCCCTCACCCTACAAAAAAATAATTACCAAACAAAAACAAACATCATTAGTAGCGTACCTTCTACAATTGTTAACTAAATATTTCAGCCCTTCCTCCTGAATGCCAGTGCTCATGGCAAAATTAATGACCTCGATGTCTTTGTTCCCCGATAGCGCCCGCAGGACGTCGTCGTCCACAGGCACGTTCTCCAAACTTAATTTCTTCAAACGCCTGCACTTCCCGAAAAGTACCGCCAGAGTTTCGGTGGAGATGTAAGCCATACTCAAGTCCAAGTAGACCATTCTACATTGAAAATCGTTGCTGGACAAGGTACACGTAGGATTTATCGGAGGATCGCAAATCTAAAAAGTTATTGATAAGCCTGAAAAACGCCTTACACAGACTGGCGCAGTCGGTTAAGAACATGGCTGGAAGCATGTTAGAAGAAAACAAGGTAAGTTCTTGCGCATCTGTTTCCACCACCCCATCATATTGGCGAAGAGGTGGGAGCACCCAGTCGTCGCAATTTTGATGTGAGTTGTTTTTACTATTTTAAAGTTTTATAAGTGTAAAAAATGACTACATGCCAAGTGAAAATCTGTAAAAACAATGCCAAAAGAAAAAAACCTAGAAATCCAATACATTTCCTTAGTATGGGCTTGAAAAAATTGATGTTAAGGATAGTAAGTAGTTTTATTTTAAAAACAATTAAATAACAGTCGTTTTTAGAGGTATTTTCCTTTTGTATACACAGATTATCTGTGAGAGATATATAAATAAAAAAATAATTTAGGGTAATATTTTTGTTTGTATTTGTTCCATTTAATTCACAGATAGTTGCTATAAGAAGGAAAATTGGATCGAAAAAACATACAAACTACATACCCATAGAAGTCTATAAAAGTTGATACGGTTTCAACTTTACACTTAACAGCTGATTTATCAAAAGAGGAATCAAGTACTTTGTAAGAAATTAAAATAAAATGGAAAAATCAAAATAAATCATAGTTCTTTTTACAGTGTACAAGAGATACGACAAAACCAGGAAGCATAATATCATCTTTGAAGACAGCCCACAACAGAAACTCAAACTCTAAGAAATCAAGTACTGCATTGAGAAATTAAAATAAAATTTAAAAAACAAAATTTAATCTTTCTTTTTGCATTGTGCAGGAAATGTGCCGAGACAAGGAAGCTATAATGATCTTCAAGGACAGTCCATAACAGAAACTCAAACTGCAGCATGCTGCTGATAATAAAATAGCTCGGGATTAAAACATCACAAAAGCATTAGAAAACCCGCTTTACATACCATAATATAATATTTTTCACAAGTTTAGTTTGTGTTATTAAAGGTTGGCTTCAGGAATTATTTTTATGTGTTAACACTATAGTGATATTTTCACCCATAATATAACAAGTGGTATGATTATCATCGATAATATTTTCGAATTGAAACTGAGCTGCAGATTTCACAAGTCCGCAGGACGAGTTAAATTTGCTGCTTCGGTTTCAATGAGTAAATATCATCGATTATTAATCATATCACAAGTTATATTTAGTGAGAAAATATAATGAATTTTAGGACTTCATGAATAATTCATAATAATAATAATTATTATCAGTTTAAAATTTGAAATTAAAATGTGCTTTAAAATATAAAAAGACTTTAATAAACCCTATTTATTTAAACTTGCCTTAATTTCATTATCGTTTACACCAACCCATCGATCTTTTAGAGTTTATAATTCATTATTTTAATCATATACAGTACTGTCGATACCGGCGAAGCGAGTGGATGAGTAGTTTGAGCGCTCAGTGCCGATCCACAATAAAATTCTTAAAGAAACATAACTATTATATACAGTGTAGTCGAGTAAAGTACGGTGCGAAACAGTGCTACTATTTTGGGTTACTACATACCTGTACAGGTGAAATCAGGGTACCTGTTCTCTGAGGGGTTAATAGAAACATTAAATAATCCCCCAAATGCAATCTTTCAACGGTGAACATAGGAGTGAGGTTCGTGCGGACACGAAATAATAAAGTGACAGGGAACAGGTCAAGGAATCACCTATTTAAAGAAAAAAACAAGTCTAACAAAGAGCGAAAGGGATCATCATCATCACCAGCAGACTCTGATAAGTATTATTGTATGACCTAATACGCAAATCTGTAAAAAAAACCTGGCAACAATCATTGCCGAAAACAGCGTACGTGTGTAAAAAAAATCAAATAAGAACATCACAATATTATATTATTGTATTATATATATTTTATAATATACGCAACTTACGGCTCAGCCACAAAGCAAAGCTAGAAGATCGAATGTAAATAAACAAACCGCCCACGTAAATAAAGTAAATAAACCATCTATTAAAGCATACGTTAAACGCCTGACACTAGGGCCGTATTTCAAATTTTAATTCGATACACCACAGGGCCGGCTTAATCTAATTAGTATTAATTTAGTTTTAAATTAAATTTGGAAAAAAAGTAAGAACGCAAAGACACAAATTAAATAATAATAAACGGTATAAACAATAATTTAACAACAAAATAAATAGTTCACCAACAAGGACAGGTTCCAGCAGCGCACTAACACCCCGGCTCAAAAATACAAGAACAGCACAGAAGAAAGAAGAACGACCAATAGCCAATGCAGACTATATGGTGGCATTCCACCACATACACTACAGGGCCGGCTTTACCGATTTTGTATATTAATATTTATATATAAATATACAGGGTGTTTCATAATATATGCGCAGGACTTCAGGATGTGATAGCTCATCCAAAAAGATGAAAAAAGTCGCTATTAACTTACCCTCTAAAATGCACAATTTTCGAGATACAGGGTGTTGAAATTTTAGAAAAAAAATCGTTTTTTTAGATTATCTCTGGAACCGTTTATCGTACAAAAAACAGCTTTTGTAAGAATTTTCTACTCATAATAAGCTATGTTTTGTGCCAGAAAAAATTTTTTTTTACTCATAATTGGTGGAGATTTATGAAGGGGTAGCGGGTGTTTTTCTCCTCAACTTCAATGCCCCTGAAAAAAGTACGGTTTTGAGAGGCCCATTCGAACCGCCAATGTTTTCTACAGAAAAAAGGTACTCTTGGTCATAAGCTCTAAAGTTGACCGTTTTCGAGAAAAATCAACTTTTATGTTTAAAAACATGGTCAATTTTTTTAAAAAAATTTTTTATTAATAATTAAACAAAATTTATTTTAACGTTAGAAAAAGTAACAAAACCAAACGATAATTGCAAAATAAAAAAAAAATAAAAAATGATTTTTTACTCAAATGCTGAAATGTGCGAAATGCGTTACGTTACCTTTACGGTTTGGAGAATTAAGCAAAGACAACTTTTAAATCATTTTTTATTTTGCAATTATGGTTTGGTTTTGTTACTTGTCCTAACGTTAAAATAAATTTTGTTTAATTAGTAAAAAAAAAATATTTTTTTTTAAATTGACCATGTTTTTAAACATAAAAGTTGATTTTTCTCGAAAATGGTCAGCTTTAGAGCTTATGACCAGGAGTACCTTTTTTGTGTAGAAAACATTGGCGGTTCGAATGGGCTTCTCAAAACCGTACTTTTTTCAGGGGCATTGAAGTTGAGGAGCAAAACACCCGCTACCCCTTCAAAATCTCCATCAATTATGAGGAAAAAGAATTTTTTTTAGCACAAAACATAGCGTATTTTGAGTAGAAAATGCTTACAAAAGCTGTTTTTTGTACGATAAACGGTTCCGGAGATATTCGAAAAAAACGAATTTTTTTCTAAAATTTCAACACCCTGTATCTCGAAAATTGTGCATTTTAGAGCGTAACTTAATAGCGACTTTTTTCATCTTTTTGGATGAGCTATCACATCCTGAAGTCCTGCGCATATATTATGAAACACCCTGTATATAAATATATATATAAATAATATATATATGAAAATATATTTTTAAATTAAATTTGGAAAAAAAGTAATAATGCAAAGATATAAATTAAATGAAAACGGTATAAACACTAATTTAGCTATAAAATAAATAAAGAGTATACAAGGTTGGTAGCCGGAGTAAGCAAAGAACTAACATACCCACCCCCATTCACGAATACCAATTGAATGGGGTTACTACTAAGGCCTAGGTTGCGGAGGATTCCGGATTGTACTTAGTTTTGGGTCAGTTCAATGTCCTCCAAAAACCCTTCCTAAACTGGACGTATGGCCCGACCCGGCTGACAAAAATTCCGGGAGCGGCCTTAACCTTTGACACTGTCTTCCACGACCTCCTAGGGTGGATCTACCAGCCGGCGTAAAAACTTCGGAACCAACAAACACAGGTAATGCTGTGATTTGGCGGGATACGCAGGAGAACGAAAAGGGGGTAAAATATCCCCGGGAGATCGTGGAGGATAATATATCTGGGGCCTGCCATACGTTCCCATACTCATACTCATTATTTTAATCATATACGCCTAGACATATACGCTAAAGAAGTATCGGGTTTTCGCAACGCGCGCGCCACCTGGTGGACTTCGATGGCATTGCGTGAATTTAAGAATTGTCAACAATACAAGCATACGAACTGTACATCATTTTTAAATAAATAGGTAAAAGAGAGAGCAAATTTTGTTCAATTGCACAGCTAAATCGCGCACGTTATTTGTGTTTTACGTTGCAAGGAAAAGATTAAAAAACTTTTTAGTACTCGATTTCGATTGATTATTCTTTATATCATTGATTAAGAAACTTAACGCTTAAATGCTTATACCTATACTATATAGTTACGTTAGTGTGTGTATTTTATTTAGGGATCATGGTGAATTATTGTGTTTTTAATTGTAAATAAAATTCAAGAACTAAATCGTTGCATTTTTATGTTTTGCCAAATGATCCAATTCGGTAAGTACATTGGTTGGTGCAGAATAACTAATGATAACTTTACCTAATATAATTTATATTTAAGTTTGGACATTTTTAAGAAATTAGTAAAAAATTATTTTTGCACAAATATAACCTTAAAATCAACCATTTTGAAAGAAAGAAAATACGTTTATTTTGAAAAATCCAGAGAGTGCTTGTTAACTCTATATGGATTCATCCTCTTTTCATATTTAAGTTCTCTAAAAAACGCCGTCAACTGCATTTTAAAGAACATAATATTATATACATAATATAATGGTATTTTACCGTTGAGTTGATGCTAAATGCTGTTTTAATTTAGACTTATTTGTTTGACGATTTTTACTGAATTGAAATGTTTACACTTTTCACGTTAATCATTACTAAAATGTGTATTTATTGTATCTAATGAATACAATTTATATTTACAGGGACTGTATGAAATTTATTTCTTCATTCGGATTAACACTGTTTATTGGAAAACCGTTAAAAACAACCCAGGAATTCCTCTCGAAATACACCCAACAACACAACAAATCGTGCCACGGTTTTTTTTCTGATATTTTTTAACATTTTCCGGCTTTATTCTTAAAAACACTCGTTTGTAACATAAGCATTTGATAGCTGTTGTACTTTTGTTAAGATGATAACAGCCGAGTGGTGGCGCTACTAGCGATACTTCTTTAGCGTATAACAAACACAGGATTTAAATGTCAACAAATGTCAAATCAAAAAAAGTGTCAAAATCTTTAGTAACGTGTAAACAAGGTGATAAAATGCGTAACTATGGAATACTGGCATTTAATAATCAGATATTTTTAATTCAATGTGATATTTTTAATTCCGACTGATTAGAGTTTGGCCACAAAAACCGACTCACTCCAACAAACTAACGCGCACTGTCCTTTTTCAGTACATAAATTGATTTTCAAAGCCCATAAACTATCTCCATGCAAAAAACCACGTCGCGTGAAAGAATAACAAACAAACCAACACATGCATTTATCCAGTACTTACTTTTGTTTTGGCCAGCCTGAGTACGACCACTTGCTTGGCGAGTATGGTGCCGAATACTCCGGGCGCCAAAGTTTTGTTGGACATGTCCATGCGGGTCCACAGGCTGTCGTCGTGAGTTAATCGATAAAATCTACGCGACACTAGAGATATTTCGCGGAGGTGAGCTCGAGGTAACCACCTCAGTATGTGCAGGACCACTTCATCTGATAGGGAGTTAAAGTAATCTAAAAGAGAAGCAAGATATTGCGAAAAAATTCAGGAGACTTTTATTATTATTATTATTATTAAGAAGAAATATGGCACGCCACTGCTTTTAGTGTGTTTTGATATTTTATGTTTTTGAGAAAAACAAATCTCTTTACACTTCTAGAGCAAGTGAAAAATACACATTTTTAAGTTATACTGATATTGTTTTTTATATATATACAGTTGTATTCATTAAAAAAGCGTACAAGAATTAGAATGAAAGAAAACTGTCAACATTATTGCTTAAAACCGGCTTTCTACTGACTTAAGTCACTATAACTGACAGAAAATAAAAATGCCTCGTCAGTTAAAAAGGCTCAAATAGTATCAAGAATCGAAGAAGAACGGTCAATTCGTACCGTGGTATAATAGAAATAAAAAATCTATATTAAAAATTAAGCAACGCTGGGAATAGGAAGATTTACTAAACCAAAAAGTTGGTTCAGGTCGTCCCAAAATGTCCACCCCTGAACAGGATGCTGCTTTTTTGGGATATATGAGGATTTATGGGAAACTATTAGAGATGCGACTTGAAAAAAAACGGATCGTTTTTTTTTCAGGTTTTTTTTCAAATGTTTTTTTTTTTCACATTTTAGTTTTTTTTTAAGATTAGTCCCATTTGCCTAATTTTTTATGTTTCCATGGACTAAAATTAGCCACTAATATAAGTAACAATTAGTAAATGTAAATACAGTCTCGCGCTATGTACGCGCCACAACCATCGATTTGACCAATAAGGGCCGCGCTTCTTTTGATTTGGACCTTAAAAAAGTAGCGCTTGATTTTTCAAAAAGCTACCAAATGCACTTTTTTCATGATTTTTCAAATTTACGGAGTATGGAATTTTTTTTTCAAAAAACAATAGCAAATTCTTTTAAAACATTTATTCATTGGTGGTTAAGTCAGAACATTCCGTGGACCAAAAAAGAAAGCAAAAAAAATCGTTTTTTTTATTACGGCATTCGTTAGAATTGAGCGTTGCACGTTTTTCATCTAAAAATCTCAAAACTATAAACTTCAAGCTTCAAATTGCTTTTTTTACGGCTCCAATACGACCATTTTTAACAAAGATACAGCTCTCCGAAAAATCGCAAAACAAATTTTTTTTATTCTTTAATTTTTTAGTCTTGGACAAAATTTTAAATAATGAAAAATGTAATATATTCTACATTTTACTCAAAATTTCATTTTGATAAAAAAACAAAAAAAAAAGGTTTTTTTTCTAGGTTTTTTTTTTTCATGTTTTTTTACATCTGAAAAAAACCGTTTTTTACATCTCTAAAAAACTTTTTTTCCGTTTACCCTAAAAACTATACAACTATACCTACTATACTGCTGGGAAGATATTAATCCAAATATTGTATTAAATTTAATTCAGTTTATCCCAAATAGATTGGCTCAAGTAATAAAAAAACACGGATGCATGACTAAATATTAAATTTTTTTTAATGTTTGTTTTTTTTTCATTTCTAAAAGGTAATAATTTTTGTAATATTATTTAATTAACCTACGACATCAATGCTCTTTATAACCTATAGTAATTATTTTAATGACTTTTGTCAGTGATAAGCCAGTTTTAAGCAATAATATTATTTTGACAGTTTTCTCTCATTCTAATTCTTGTACGCTTTTTTATTGAATACAACTGTACATATGTAAAATAAAATATATTTTTTTAGTTTTTTTATTTTCATGCAAGAAATCTCATGTTTTCTTAATTTTTAAGCACCCTGTACAAATAAGTCAAAATTTGTGTTTGGGTATGTTATTTTTTAAACAAGCAGGAGTTTTTGTGAAGAATGATTTTTTTTAATAAAATGTATAATAAAAAAGTTTTTCCTATTGGTAAACCAATCCAGGGACACTGTTTACAGGGTGTTACCTAATAAATAAATTCGTCAAAACAAGGAAGTTTTTCCTATATCATTTTTGCATTAAAGATACTGTTTTTAAATAAAAAAAATATGAAATTGTTTTGACAAAACCAGGGAGCCACTGGATGTCAGTGACCTATCCTATATGAGGATCCTAGAAGCCAAGAGATACAAGTGGCAATTAAAAAAAATGTAGTTATGTACAGAAAAAGATAGTAAATGGTACATTTTACTTGGTATCCAAGGAATATAACTAAATTCTTAGCTTAGACATGTTAAAAAACCAAGTCATAAAATATCAAACAATTTTTTGTGATTTTTTACTTTAAACATGATTATCTCAAAACTAAACTAGGGTCTTCATATATAACTATTGTTTTACCTCTAAAAACAATGATATTAATTATCCAAGCAAAAAAGAAACGGGTATGCGCAAAGTGTATTATGTAATATCAAGCAAACTTTTAAATTTATTTAAAATCGGTTAGTAGGTACTTTCTTATCATTGACTACTGACAGTTCAGTTGTTATTGTGGTTTCTCTGGGGCTACATGAACAGTTTAGTGTACCAGAGCAAAGTTGACACATTAGAACAACATTAGAACTTGTCACTGCAGCGGCAGAAATCCAAAATCATCCGGATATGATAGCAAGGGCGACACATCATAATTTTCTACGCCACTGTCAACTTTTTGTGAATAATACCAGCGGGATAGTTGAACATTTATTATAATTTTGTGGAACACTTAGCTTCATAAGTGTTAATAAATAGATTAAAAAGTGAAAAATGAAATTTAAAATCGACGGGAAAACCTCGAGATTCTCAACAATAAAAAGTAAGTATTGTTTTATTCAAAGTACCTAAAAATAGCTAAGTATGCAAAACAAAAAACAATTATCAACATAGTAATCAATGATAAAACAAATGTAAATTTTTAATGAATGTAGATTATTGCCCACTGTGCAAGAATATTTTGCGTCTGTTGTCATAGGTCAGGAACAACCAGTGGCGGCCCAAAATTTACACTTTAAAATTGTAATGATTTTTTTTATAAAACTGATAGAGGAAAAATCATTCCCTTAAAGGATGATAAATTATTTGACACCCTGTATAGCTTAATTGAGTTAGGTAGTGAAACAATTTCTGTGGGCCATATATTACCAAATAAAATTTGACAGGTAAAAATGACAATTGTAATTAATTAGGTAACTAAAGTGTTTTTATGAAAATATGAACTTAATAATATTCTTTATATTATAAAGAATTTGGTAAAAAACTTAGGCAGGTAGGTATATCACTATTTTTTTCCATAATCATAAAAACTTGTATTGCATTTTTACTAAAGTTTTAGAAAATAAGTCAATAATACTTTCACTTCAATAACTTAAACAAAAGGTAATATTTATAAAACTTTTTAAACTGCATTTTAAAATGAGGGAATAATGAATATTATACCATTTTTTTAATGACTTTTTTGTTTAGTAAGATAAATCTTTTTGAATATCTTATTTCCCAAAAAATGCATTTTTTTCTTTATGGAATTAATTCAAAATCCAATACTGTTTTAATATCACTTGGGAAAATGAAATTTTTGCTTTTTCCTGTTTTTTCTTACAGCTCTATATAAAACTAACAAAAATTAAATAAAAATTATCCCACTGTATTAACTTATTACAAATTTAAACTTCCCTAATTTTGAACCTGCAAAACTTAATTCCTTATAGGATAATTTATAACATAAGTTTAACATATTATATTGAAAGTCAGGGTTTGATGCAGCAAAAAATATTGCAATCTAGCAAATACGTTATGTAATTTAATTTAATGTAAATATATTTTCCTTAATCATATTTGCAAACACTAATCTTGCATCAATAAAAAATAAAATCTCACTGATAGATGATTACCCATTAAACTTACTGGTTTTGTCTGTAGGTCTCATCATGGGTTTATTGACTAAAAGATTATCCCATTCTCCTAAAGTTAGTTTATCTAATGCTTCTTTGGTTAAGGTTGACTCAAGTATGGCTAACTAAAAAACACCACACAGGGTCAATAACTTCTTAATCAAAAAAAAATTGGGATTGTTAACTATAGGTGCACATTTTTCTTACTTGTTTGACTTTGGAGGAAGGAGACATTGAAACGCAGGACACGTCAATAGCCCTTGGTTCCTCTTTGTTGAAAATAGTGTCGTCATCGCTTAGCACTTCCTCAGTATCACAATCCAACCTACCGACACCATGATCAAATATTTCGTGTAAAATTACATCGCTCTTATTTAAGCTCCAGCTATTACCCCCGAACGCTTCCTCGTCATATCTTGCACGTTTCCTATTTATATAAAAACATTATTTTGCATTTTCCTGAATAAAAACTGCCCATCATCAAACGTTACCTGCTAGGCGATCTACCAATATTAACATCCACTGGTTGAAGAATACTTTGTCTAGACATTTTCACGATTTAATTTATACCCAGTCCTAATCAAATCCCGCACATTATTCCCTCCAAGTAAATACGAAAATGTGTACAAATTTAGGGAATTTTGCCACAAAAAGTCACCAAATCATCTGTTTGAAAGCGCCATCTATTCACAACATGACAAACTATTAAAACCAAATGATGAGTTTATCTTTTTTAAACAAAATTATCACAGTAATGCAGTGAAAACTATTTAATTATAATAATAAAATACGAAAAATGTTTGCATTTAAAATAAAATAAGCGATAAATATAATTTTGTTCGCATTCATATACAGGAAACTGCAACAATTTAACGCCATCTCTTGTTGAGTTATACAAACTCTTGACAGTTAACCTCAAATAATCATGTCCACAATTATTAGTTCTTTAGGCCGATTTGCATTTAATAACTGTAAAAAATGCTCAAAGGTAAGTAATTTTATCCCAAAAAAACCTCACTTAAAAATTATTTCACTTTTTTTAGGGAGTCTTATCAAGTCAAATTAGACTAAAATCAAAGGTATTAAATAGGTTTTATAGTGAGGGTTATAGGGCCCCAATAAGAAAGGAACCTGGGAAAGGTATAGGGCCAATATCATGGAAAAATATGATAATTACTTCCACACTGGGGGCTGGGCTTATGGGGTTCATGTGGTATGTGAAAAAGGAAAAAGAAGAAGGTAAGTAAAAACACTTTAACACCCTGTATCTCAAAGAGAAATCATAATTCGACTAGTTTATTCAACAAACTTCCATTATTTTTTGATAAATTCATTCTAAGGAATGTATGCAACCCAGAGTACACGTGGATGTATTTTGCGATGATTCCACAGAAACTATGCATTTTTTCGGAATAAAAATAAACCTTTGTCACCTTATTTTAGCTATGGCCAAAGAGAGACAAAGGATGCTGGGTAAAACACAAATCGGTGGTAAATTTGAGTTAATTGACAGTGAAAGTAAACCACGAAGTAGCGACGAATTTTTGGGGCAGTGGATGCTAATATATTTTGGATTTACTCATTGCCCTGATATTTGCCCCGATGAGTTGGAGAAGATGGCCTTAGTCATCGATACTTTAGGTGAATACGATATTTATTACATTTACATCAATATTTATGTTATTTTTTTTTAGATAAAAACGAAGGTACTCCAAAAATTCAGCCTGTATTTATATCAGTGGATCCCACAAGAGATTCACCCCCTGTAGTGGGAAAGTATTGCAAAGAATTCAGCCCTAGACTGTTGGGTTTGACAGGGTCTGAGGAACAAGTGGGAAAAACTTGTAAAGCATACAGGGTGTACTTTAGCGCCGGGCCCAAGGACAAAGATAGCGATTACATAGTAAGTACTTTATTTGTATACATTTAAATATTAAAATATATTATAATTACCTATTTTTGTGCTTTTAAAATTTAAAAAAATTGGTTTATTAAACTGGTTCATTTTAATTTTGTTATCTCTTACTTTAGTTTTACCTACAATACAGCAATATTATATACAACAGTTGTTTCACAGTTTTTAGTATTTTTGTCCAAAAACTATTTAAAATAACACAAACTGTAACCAGTAGATTATATAAAATGAACAAGAAGTCTCTAAAATTGCCATAAAACCTTAAATGAAAAAAGTGCATTACTATGTTCTCTGACTACATATTTTAAGTACAGTTTACAGTGTACAAATTATTTTAGGTGGACCATACTATAATTATGTATTTGGTGAACCCTGAGGGTCAATTTGTAGACTACTATGGACAAAACAAAAATGCCCATGACATTGCCTCTTCAATAAAACTGAACATGGCGAAATTTGAACAGTTAAATAAGGGCAGCTGGTTTTAGCATTTAATTATTAACTTGTTAGCATATGTATGTAAATAATAAATTGTTATTTGTCATTTCCTTGCATATATTATTTTTTAAACATAGTCTTTGGGTCAACATTATGAAGGTGGAGACAGGGTAATTTGATTTTACCTTTGCATGAGTGATTTCATGCCCGAAAAAAATTCATAGAAATTAAGTGTATGTTATTTATAAATAATCCATTCATGTATTGAGAAATTGTTCAAAAGTTATTTCAGGGCAGGCTTGAATAATTTTTTATGTAATTTCAGATTTTCAAGTGAAGGTACAATTTTATAATTTTTACTAATCATATTATTACATAAAATTGTTCATTTAACATTATAAAATATTAAAAAAAAAATATTAAATTTTAGTTTATCCATGTTATTTGCTTAAAAAAGATTTGAAAGAATTTGAAAACTGCTATCACAAACAAGCAGTTATGACGTCACTTTATAGTACGTTTTTAGATTTATAGCAATGTTACCAGACATAAAATATTTACGCTATTTAAATACATACAATTTGTAATTTTATATACAGTTTTATATAGAACTAGCATAGCGTTAACTAAAATAAGTTTTTTAATCCAATCCTGTACTCTACATTTCTATATAATTTTTAAAATTATTGTTTATATTTATAATGTGGTATAAATATCCCCGAAAATCTCAACAACTATCATAAGAAAAATGAGGTTTATTTTGGTATTTATTGCAGTTATTTTACTAACAAATGCAGTGCAATGTAAGGTAAGCACTTCTAGTTCTAGATGATTTATTTTTTGTATACTAAAAGTACCTATTATAATATGCCATACCAATTTTATGTAATTATTTAGATGTCGGATCAGCAACTGAAAGCTGCTATGAAGCTGATAAGAAACGTTTGCCAACCAAAATTCAAGACAACAGATGGTTAAAAGTTCTTAAAATATTTACCACTGTACTTTGTCTTAACATAGCTTTTTTTAGCTCAAATTAATGAAATGCATGCTGGTAATTGGAATCAAGACCGCGCTGGACAGTGCTACACCTGGTGTATACTGAACATGTATAAACTGGTAAGTCTCACACTTTTTTTTATCTAATTAATCATACAAATATCTTAGGTAATTTTTTCATCCTATTAGGACTTTAAAGTCATGCCTGCAACTTTAACAAACACAGTTTTTTATAAATAAAATTTTTAGATTCGAAAGGATAACTCATTTGATTGGGAAGCGGGTATAAAAACTTTGGAAATTCAAGCACCAGATAGCATAGCCGAATATGCTATACCATGCGTAAATGAATGTAAAGACGCTGGTAAGTAAACTACAGTTCGTTTTTTTTTTCGGAATTTGACAACCTCAAACATTTGGGGTTTAGTTGGCAAATTCTAGGGACACTAAACTATAGTTTATGGAGGATATAATTGTGATTATGTTTGAGAATATTTATAAATTTTGAAATGTCAAATAGGTATATGCAACTTAAAAATACAATATATCACTTTATGCACGATGACATTATATTATGGCAATTATAACAAAAATTCTTTGACGTCAACGTCTTTTTATAGCCCGCGGGCGTTATTATGACCCAGCGGGCTATAATGCATTGTTGTTTTTAATTTTTGACGTTTCATGAAACGTCAAAAATTAAAAACAACAATGTTACACACCGTTTGATATATTCGAAGTAAGTTCATTTCATTCATCTTTAAACTTTAAAACTGACTGTCAGTTGACATTATAATACGACAATTATAACAAAAATTCTTTGACGTAAACGTCTTTAAAAACAATAATATATTAAAAATAATAATATATTAATCGTGCATAAAGTTTTGTATGCATTGCTGGCATAACTGGTTTTTATGGTCCTACGACGCTTTTCTAGCGTCGGACCATAAAAACCTTATTATGCCCTTAATACATAAATAACTATTACCTGTACTGGTAATATAATGAAATATATTCCCAGCGTATAAATACTCCCATAAATATTCCCAGCGTACAAATACACATGTATCCCACTGAGCAAAAAAATGTAAAATTTATGTAAAATTAACGTCAAAGGTTGTAGTGTGACGTATAAGAATCTTGTAAAATAAACGTCACATAAACGTCGCTGTGATGTGCCTATGTCCGGATCCTGGTCCGTGAATTAGCCCTAACCGTTACGTGGATAAGGAAACGTAAAAATTACGTTTTTAAAAGGACGTAAAAATGCCATTTTAATTTGGACGTATAGGTTTTGTTTCAACTTGTACGCATTAGTTACGTTTTTTTAAATAAAACTACCACTTTGGAAATATATTTTTTTTATTAAAATAAATTATAAAAATAATAAATAAAATAATAAAAATAAAACGTTATATGAGTACCGCCTAATTAATTTTCGGCCTCATTCTCATGTCCAAATTTGGCCAAAAAACGTTATGAGCGTTGCTTGGCGGTTTGGAACAACTCCTTGCTCTCTTTATCGAAATCACTTTCAGTCAGACGAAATAATTTCATACTGGCTTCTAAAACAAACATTAGTAACTTAAGTTATCTAGTAATTAGGTAAATAAAACTTATATAACTTGCCTGTCGCTCGGTGCAAAATTTGTCTCCCATGTTCACTGGTGTATTAACTGAAAAATTAAATTGATTAAAACACTTTTCTTTAAGCATTGATTAATATTACTTCTCGCTCAACGCTAACATTTAAATCAACAAAATTCGATAACCACTAATACCGCGCCATCATGGCGATATTGGGACAATTAATTAATTATATTATAACCGTATGGTTGCAAACAAATGATAAAGCCAACTTACCTAAACCGTTCAGTCTCGCCTATGGAGAACAATGCGTTTTCTATCACACAGCAACAAATGGCAACACACTGTGTTGAACACAGAACAATGGCAGTCGCAACGAAAACAGAGTATGCCCTGTTACAGGGCCCCTTTTATACCGATATATCGACTGGAAACGAAATTACCCGAGTCCTTTTTTACGTAAATTTTACATAAAATATACGTTTCTTAATCTCACTATGGGATAATAATAGAATTATTATTCGGTAATATTAATTAATAAATCACTCTGGGATTTATAATAAGTCATTAAAATAATAGTCGTACCTACTTACATTGGTTTCTAAGTAAGTACTTTCGGTTTAATCTAAAATTATGAATTATATTCGGTATTTAATTATCTAAGTATACACTCAAATTTCCAACAAAAATGTAAATGTGGCATATATTTGTTCATCATTGGCAAACCTACCCCATTCATATTTATCATGTGTCGCATTGGTGACGTAAAATGTACGTTCTGTTTTGCACCTAATACGCTAAAGTAAAATAAAAGGCATAGACTGGACGGTATAATGACGTGTTCGACAGCACCTTTTATTTTTAGCGTAATTTTTACGTAAATTGAACATCACTAAAAAACGTAGTTAATTTGCCTTAAAATTGACAATTTTTAAACGTCACTGTGACATCACCACATCCAGAATGTTCCATATGTTTATTATAATCATAGATTAGATAAAGCTGAACAAGAATACAAATGATAAGAACAATGCGTTGGGTTATAGATTTATTAATATAAATTTTAATCATACACAAATGTTGCATTTATAAACTATTCTAAACATTAATTAAGCCTATAAAAAGTTTATTACTAGTTTGCTGGTTTCTTTTTTTTTATAGACACGTTAAATGTTGCAGATCTGCACTCACAATTCATATTTTTATTTCCTTGAACGAAATTAGCCGTTTTTAAACAAGCGGCACTTTTTATTAATGTCCAGTTCCCTCGAGACATTTCTACTGTATAAATATAGGAACTGGGATCTTCATTGGAGCAAACCAACTCAGCAAACCAGTTCATAAAATAAGTATTATATTCTTGAGTAAAACACAATGTTATTTTGAATATCCTTGAATTAAACAAAGTCCATTTTTCGGTTTTAGGGCTTGAATATGAAAATGTTAAATTTGAAGTAAGTTCCTTATCCTTATGTCCACCATTCAAATGTTCCACTAGGAATTTGTAATTGCCAGATTCATTGCAGTACTCCATTGGACATTTGTAGATATGTAATGGACAAGATTCTTCATGTTCACCTAATTCAGGTTCACTGCCAAATTCTATGCACCCAAATTCTTTATATCGGCATGGATATTTTAAATTTTTAGTTAAATCTTCTACCATTGAAGTTCTTGTCTTGGTCCACTCTGCATTGCATGTGAGACATTTCTGTTCTTTGTCATGACACACAATACAGATGCTGTGTCCATTTGCACACAAATAAATTGGAGGTCTCATTATTTTCTTACAGCCTGGACATTTCAATAGTTCCAATATTTTTTCATCAATATCATTTGGGTTTAAGTTAAATTCATTGACTATAGTATTGTTTTCATCTGCAAAATGTTTTAATGACTCCAAATTTATTACTTCTGTTGCATTGGGGTTTTTATTCATATTTGACTCTTTATAAATACTGTTCAGCTTGGTGAGGGTGCCTACAGTTCTTATATAATTCTGCGTAACTTTGCTGATGTGTTTCACTGGATATTCAACATATTCTTCCAGCTGCACAGTAGGATTTATGGCATAATAATATTTATTATCAATGATGGCTGTCTTTAAAATGCAGTTTTTGTGGTCATCAATCAGTAATTTTATGTTAAATTGTTCAGATAGGGATGTATCAACTTTAAAAATGCTATTTTCACCTTTAACCACATGATCTTTGTGATCCTCTGCAAAATGATCGGCAATTTCAAAATTAGTTCCATTCCAAGTGCAACCTTTATTATTCACCATCGGACAAGGCTTTACTTTGTATTCACAAACATTGACGTGCTTCGCATAATTTTTGCATGTCAGTTTTTTAATGCAGCCCTTGGATTCGTACTTGCACGGCAAAACAAGCTGAGACATAACAAAGATATGAGCAGAATTTAACTCAGCCCTCGATTTATCGTCGCACTTTTCGTAGCATTTAGAACATACGTTTCCTTTACCGAATATGAAAAATATATCGGAGATGCAAAGCTCATCGCAAATCCTGCAGTTAAAGATTTTCTCTTTTAACAGTTTGTCGTTTAAATTGGTTGATACGTCGTTCGCCATTTTGGTCTATAAAGAAAATAATAAACATTGATTGATGAGGTCAGGGTGGATGAGGTTAAAAATCTACGGGATTCCCCCGTTTACAAAACAAACTAAATAACTATTATAATTATCAACTTTATGGCTACGATTCATACAATTTATTCGACAGTTTAATATTTTATCAAATCTATCAAATGCTTATTAAACAAACAACAAATGATAAAACAAAACTTACCTGGAAGAATGAATTCTAAAATGTTGAATTATTTTGCGAATGGCAATTATTTCAATATACAACAAACAGGATAAACCAGCAAACACAGCTCTGTGCATAAAAATAAAACAGATAAACAACTCTGTAAACAAATATTCGTTAACCGACAAACCATAAATGCAAGCTTCGAATTGTTGTTTGCATGATACAACCATAGATTAGATAATTCTGACAAATGTCAAAGTATTTAAAATTAAGGGCTTGACAGAAGTACCAATTATAAATATTAAAATTACCAAAGTATAGTGATGTATTTCGAATTAAAATATTCGTTTAATCTGATGCATCCGAATAATGAAATATTTTATGGAATCGGAATCGGATTCGGAATAATTTCGTATCCTCCTATGAAAAATCCGGTTTCGGAATCCGAAATTCGGATGAATTGCATTCGGTATCAAAATTTATTGTTTATACCGTAGCCCTCTAGTTTTTACCAACCGAACTTGATGACGACTCATACGTTAAAAAAATGAAAACTAAATAGTTTAATGTCAATTACCAAAACGGAACACCATTTAAAATTATATTAGATATTAAATATATTTATTGCCTAATATTATTTACTTAATTTTTGATATATTTATAATAAAATTACAGTTTTAATTTAAAATTAGGATAATCCGAATATCTAAATCATCCGAATATCTCCATCAAAGTATATTAACAAACAATACGGCCATTTCAAGCGCGCGAAACGCACGAATTACAAAACTGTTTTTATAAAAAAAATTGTAGATTATTTATTATATAATATTTTGGCATCAAAATTGACAAAAATATTCTTCTTTTATTAGGTTATACATTAAATAAAAAAAAACTCAAGAAATATTTTATGAAAGTAGATATAATTTTAATAATTGAAAGGTGTGGACGGGACAAAAAAAAGATTTATCTTGTCCCGTCCATCCCTGTCAATTATTGAAATTATCTCTACTTTTATAAAATATTTCTTGCGATTTTTTTTATTTAATGTATACCCTAATAATAGAAGAATATATTTAACAATTTTGATGCAAAAATAATATATAATAAATTAGCTACAATTTTTTTTATAAAAACAGTTTTGTGATTTGTCCCGTCCATCCGCTTGAAATGGCCGAATACCAACATAATTATTATTAATCAAATGTGTTCAATTTAGAATGAAAAAAAAAACTATTATTTTTGTTCCCACTGAGCATTTGGACTGCTAAATGGACGTCTGGGACATGCGCAGAATAGATAACACAGATGCGCAGTAGTAAAATTGCCAGCATATTTTCGTTTTGCGCATGCGATTTTCGTATAAATAAAACAATTTTTTAAATTATTTTTTATAAATTACAGTTAAACATCAGGAAGACAAATGTGTAGCTGGCTTTGAAGTAGCTGAGTGCATTTTTAGATGTAATCCCGAGGTAAACAAAGATCAAAAATAAAATCTACAGGGTACATATAAAATTAATTTTAATTTTTTACGTTTTAGAAATATTTTCTTCCATAGTAAAATGTCAAAAGGATATTCAGTGTAGATAAGTTTGTAGTTTATAGGTGTATAGTGCAAAAAATTATTTATTAAAGTGTCTGTTTTTGTTTAAAGTAAAATTAATTTAAAAAAAACTTATTTTATTTCAGTCAAGAATATTTTAAATTAAAAAAAAAATACAAAAAAAATCGTGCAAGTAGTTTTCTAATTATTAATTACGTGAGTTTAAAACTCTCAACCCTATGTTTATCTAAGCTGTTATTTTACAAATTTAAAAACGGTTGTTATGGGAACAAAATAAAAAACGCTGCGATCCAAAATAATAGTTATCAAGGCAGTAATGTCGTATTTTTTATCACGAATGTGGAAATTATTTGCGAAAGCCGAGGCAAATAACCACGTGAGTGATAAAAAATGAATTTAATGCCGAGGTGCATATTAAATTTTATCCGAAACTAAATACTAATAATTAATATTAATGATTAATGTCATTTAAATGTAGGTCTACGTATACTGTTTGTTGCGATTTTTTAATCTAATTAATAAAATTTACTTATTATTTTTATTAAACAACATTTTATGAAAGGGTCCAATCGACCTCCGCGACGGTGCTATTTTTAAAATATTATTTAGTTGCTGCTGAGTATAGCAGTGGACACATCTTAAAATGTATAAATGCATACAATACTCGTATTAAAAGTAGAACTTTACTGCCGATTTCTTTTACTATACTGCCGATTATTGACTACTTTACTGCCGATTTCGGATAAAAGTCTTTTAACGTAAATAAAATTAAAATTTTAAACACTTATTTTAAATTTCGCGCTCAAAACATTTTGGCAGTCACCGATATCCTACGTCACCCGTCACTTGGTTCAAACCTAACCTAACTTTACCGCGACGCTTCTTTCTGTCAACACGTGTGTTTGCAATAAACAACAAACCATAGAAAAAGGTTAACAACAAACAATAAAAATGGGTAAAATAAAAGTCGAAGCCGATGATACCGATGGAAACATTTCAGTAAAAGAGGAGGAATTATCATATGAAGACAAGGTTTTGAATTGCAACGAAATTGCCTCGCCGATGGCCTCCAAAAAGCTGGCCAAAAAGTGCTACAAACTCGTTAAGAAAGGTAAATTATTTGTTTAAAAGCACCTTCCTAAATTTTGCGACTCTCTATACTATAGAAAGCAATAAACCAATCAAAGCACTGCATTCTTTATTGCAATCCAGTGTGCTGTGAAAAATGCTGTACTTTGATTGGTTTATTGCTTTCTGTAAAGATAATTTTCTATAGAAATTTCAAGAACCTCCTCGTTTTGATATATTGTGTATTTATTTAGCTATCAAACACAAGACTTACGTACGATGTGGATTAAAAGATGTGCAAACCAGGATTCGCAAGGGTGAAACTGGAATTGTTTTATTTGCTGGTGATGTCACCCCAATTGATATTATGTCCCATTTGCCTGGGGTGTGCGAATCAAAACATATCCCATACGTATACACACCCAGTCGAAAGGATTTGGGGGCTGCCATGGGAGTTAAACGGGGCTGTTTGACTGTATTAATAAGGCACAATGCTGAGTATGAGGACACTTTCAACGAATTAAAAGAAGAGTTGGCAACTTTAGGACTTAGTTTGTAGATTTTCTAAAATATTGAATAGGTTTTTATTGGTAAGTTTCATTACTATATTTATAGTGATAAATATAGATACATAAGGTTTGTTATTGAACAAAATGTGAATTAAGTTACAAAGATATAAAGAAATATACAGATATTTAATATTAATTTGTTTTGATTTACACCCTATAATCAAAATTGGTGATTGAAGGAAAAAGGTCTTCTTCTTCTTTGTTTGGTTTGGCCTTTCCCATCCAGGATTTAGCCAGCTTAAATGTGTATACTGTTGATTGGTGAGAGGTGTGTCTAGGCTGTCCTATATCCTCCCTCCTTCATTGTCGAATCTGAATTCTTGAATTAAGGCTCTTCAATTAATATTTCCAACTTTGTCCCATGTGGTTGTGTTATATATATTTACATATATATATATATATTTTTTTTTAATAATTTTTTAATTTTGCTTTTTTTTTAAATTTTGACTTCCGCTGATTTTGTATGTGTTTGGTTAGTGTGTTGTTGTGTCATATGACTCATATCTGTATTTTATTAAAGTTTATAAATCTCCGTCCATTAGATTATTGTCCGTCTTTTGTAAGACTATGGCCATGTTAAATGGTTTTTGCACTCCCCTGCTGTGTATTTCGTCATAAAGGTCGGTATTCCCCGTCTGGTTAATCGGACATTCAAGAAATATATGATCAATGTCTCCAAACCCCCCACATTCACAGAAGGGATCGTCCCTCAACCCCATTCTGTAAAGGTGCGAGTACGATTGGAAATGTCCAGTTCTTAGTCTTATTATTGTGGTAATGTGTCTACCAGTGGCGGCTGGTGGATTTTGGGCACACCCATATCTCAGTTATTAGACATAGGACCCACATAAAATTTATATGAGTTTATAATGGCATTATATAGACGAGTTCTGCGCAAGCAGAATTTAAATTAAAGTTTGCGAAAAAAAGTTAGTTTTTAAGTGCAACCCCCAGCCTTCTGCCCCTCCAAATTAAGATAATTCAAATTAAAGTGATACAATATTTAATTCATTGAAGTTAATCGACAAATTTCAAATTTTATTAAAAAAATTTAAGAATTACAGGTTTTATACCATTTATAATTTTTATTATTTCTTTTACTAAATTTAAAAAAATTTGAAATGGTATAAAACCTGTAATTCTTGAATTTTTTTAATAAAATTTGAAATTTGTCGATAAACTTCAGTGAATTAAATATTGTACCACTTTAATTTAAATTATCTTAATTTGGAGGGGCAGGAGGCTGGGGGTTGCACTTCAAAACCAAATTTTTTTCGCAATCTTTAATTTAAATTCTGCTTGCGCAGAACTTGTCTATATAATGTCATTATAAACTCATATAAATTTGATGTGGGTCCCATGTCTAATAACTGAGATATGGGTGTGCCAAAATCCACCAGCCGCCACTGGTGTCTACGGTTTATGTATGCAATTTTTTTGAAAATTGGTATCTTTGGAAAGTTTTTTTGTATTTTATTATAAAATTTGCCCTTAGTCCTGCTTATTTCCCTCCACTCTTTTTCCCATTTTTTCGCCAGATTATCCCTTATGGTCGGCCCAAACTCCGCTGGACCTAAGTTTAACTCTAATATTTGATTAAGAGTGGTGGTCTATGGGAAAAATCGAATTTTGAAGTATTCTTCCGAAAACATTATTTTGGAAGTGGCAACCATGGAGCATTCCTGAAGGAGGAGCGGCTAGAAGTTTGAAGAAATAAGGATACATTAAAAGTAACCCATCGACGACCAATTAGAAGGCTGCAGCGATGCAGTGTTGCCGTAGTGCATGCTGGGCCGCGGGTAATTTGCAAACATAACCTCAATATCTTGGCAGCAATTTTCACATTTGTTTTGTCACATAGTTTGCTTGCTTCAAGTGTGGCTTTTCTGTGTTTTTTACTTAATAGTTGTGTTTTTAGTGTTAAGGTGTAACTATTGTTACTCTATTCGATTTTTGAGTTTTTCTGTGCTTTATAGACTATAAATTTGTGCATATTCAATATATATTTATATTCTTTAAAATGGATTTAAATACGTAAGTTTACACAAATAAGTTAAATTAAAAATTAAATGTTTACTTTGTAGGCAAACAAATCCCAAAATTTGTGAGCATTGTGAGATGGAATTTTGCAGTATCTCTTCCAAAAATGATCATCTAAAGCGAGTCCACAATAAGCCAGTGGAGAATAAAACAACGCCTCGAATTTTATGCCCACTCTGCCCTGAAGGGGAAACATTTTTAAGCCATAGGCTTGTAAAGCATTTAAAAGATATTCACGACATTGTTGTTAAGGTTTCTACTTTGAACTTTAATAACATTAAAGAATTTGAAATCTGAAGAACACTAGAAAAAAGGGAAGTTGATTATGCTTGTCATAGGAAAAATAAAAGGCCAAATGGAGAAGAACATTGGTATTACAAGTGCAATAGAAGTAACTGTGCAGGTTGTATGCTTTATTCGCAGTATTTAACATTACTTATTATCTCTTGTTTAGGATTTAGTAGTACTGCTACTCAACGTAGTTTAAAAGCCAAAGGAAGTATTAGGATTCATGGAATATGCCCCTCAAATATAACTGCAAAAATTTCTACCAGTGGTAAATATTTAAATCTATTTTAGCAATATGTAATAATTAGAAAATAAATTCATTTACCTACATATGTTTCAAATCTATGTTTTTTTAGGATATGTTACAGTAACTTTTTTTGAGACACATGTGGGACATGAGGATGACCTACGGACTAAACGTCAAAAAGTGAACAAAATGTTTTGTGTGGAAAAATTAAACGCAGGTGTAACAAGCCAAAGAATAATCAAAATTTTTGATTCAAAAATGCTAGAATGGTTAGTAACCATACTTTGGAAAGGATTAATGTAATTACAAGGGGTGATATTTAATCCAAAAATATAAAATTGATAAAAAAAGGCATGCTGATGATATGATTGCTGTATCTTTGAAAGTTGAGGAATGGAATCAACAGGGAAGGAATGATGCATTTTTATTTAATTAAATAGGTACCTAGGAAATTGGATTATTAAATACATTATGGGGTTTCTCACAAAAATATCATTTTTAGGAATGAATTTTCCAGGATTGAAGGATGAAGATTTTGCCTTGGGATATATGAATGGGATAATGAAAAGAAAACTAAGGGAATTTAAAAAAAATATTTGCATTGATGGGACACATGGCACTAATCATAGAAATTGGGATTTAACCATTGTGCTAATTAAAGATGAGAGAACAACATGCATGAAAGTAAAAATGCAACAGGAAAACCCATGGGTTTTCCTGTTGCATTTTTACTTTCTAGCAGAATGGATAAAAAAATACCGAAAGTATTTTTTAATGGACTCAAGGAAAAATTAGGAGGTCCTATTGAAGCACAATACATAATGAGTGATGATGATCCCAAATATTTAAATGCATGGACCCTGGTGATGAGCACAGAGGAAATATCCAATCCAAGAAGAATCAATAATCGATTAATCAAATAATCGATTATTTTATATAATCAATAATCGATTATGAATTTCCATAATCGCCCAGCCCTATAATTATAGTATATAGTATAGTATATATATATATATATATATATATATATATATATATATAGTAATAACATTATTTGGCTATGTATACTTATTATGTAAAAAATTAAAAACATCACAACATGTATTAAAATTATATTGTATGATTGATTATTTTATATTAAAAAAAAATAGATACAATAGTTTGTTTTATTTAAATATTCACTTCAGGGTTGTTCAAGTATTAAATATCGCTTTTGATAGGGAAAGGAGTTTTGTGTGGATTTTTATTTCTTAATGAAAAAATAAATATTAGCATTTTTTGAGCAAATTAAAATTTGTAAATATTACCAAGGTGTCCAAAATGGCCAAAAAGCTTTACGTAATAATTAAAATTATTTGAAAATATAAATTAAAGTGCAGAATGTGTAGGTATTGCAGTTTTTTTATTTATTGTGATAATTACAAAATCCCTTCTTAAAATACCCGCATAGAGACCCTGTTCAAAACGATAGATTTATATCAAAATGTATGGTGTTTCTATAGGGTGTATCGGTTTGTATAGAACCCATAGTTGGGATTTATGGTTGTTCTATAGGGAAATCCACCCTTGATTTATTTGCTATTGGTTTCGAAACCAATAGCAAATAAATCAAGGGAAAATACACATAAATGTAGAAATTAGTTTTCCCCCATAGGACCCCATAGGTTTTAATAAAATTTTGTCAAATGTTTTATGGTTTTTCTATAGGGATATCCCTATATATCCTTCATTGAGTTATTTCCTATCGTTCTCAATAGGGAAAATGTAAAAGTTATGGTGTGCCTATAGATAATTTCCTATAAATTTTCTATCGGGCCGTATCCGGAAAAAAACATGGACAAATGCACATATTGAATCCGGTAGTGCCCGATAGATTATTTTATAAAGGTCTCTATGGGGTATTTTAAGCAGGGATAGGGAAGGGTAACTTTGTAGGTATACCTACAAAGTTACCTATACATTTCCATTAGCTTTAACAATATTTTTGCTTGCTAAAAATACCTTTACCTATTATAATTGTATTAATGACAATAAATAATGTAGAACTTACTTATTTACGTCAAATATTGTTTAAAAACCATTTGCGAATCTATCTAAGACTTAAACCACTATTTTTTATATTATCCATGCCATTGTTATACAACTCATATTACGGGGAATTTAAATTACCCGCGGCACGGCACAGCACTACGGCAACATCGCAGCATCGCAACAAATGCTGCTACGCTCTGATTGGTCGTCGATGGGTTACTTTTAATGTATCCTGAAGAAATACAGCTGCGTTGCCAAATCGTACGCAATGTTCAAATTTCAACATAACCTAAAATAGCTAGTCTAACCTAATCTACTTTTTCTATGGTCTAGCGTTTTATATGGTTTAGAGCATTGAGTAATAAGTGGTTTAGAGTAACCTGTTGATTTCGGTGTGTTTGGTTAATTGTTATATTATGCTAATTAGCATTTTGCTTTGTTTTGTGTAACATTTTACTTTGTTTTTGTGTAGTTTTTTGATCTGTGTTGTGTAGTGGTTTTAACGACAGGACGTTACAATGCCGTT